GAGTCTCAGTGACCGCTATAATATCAAAGTTTCTTGAATAAACATCAGCATCGAGGAATGCAGACTTGTTCACTAAACTTCTAGCATTAAATAAAGCAACTTTAAGTTGTTGGTTTGGGCCTGGATTTGGTTCTATGTCTCCTCCAAGCATCAGTAAACTTGATCGGAAAAGCTTGATTTGATGCCGTAATCGAAGCGACGCCTTCTTGTAAGTTTGGAGTAGAGTTGAATATCGAAGTCTAGAGCGCACCAAATACTAGTCGTGGTCGAATCTTGATCGAATGACCGAGAGTGTAAAAACACTGTTGCCAGCATTTTTTGGAGGAAAATCAGTTAAAAGAGTCCACAGAATATAAATTAAAAGATACTTTGGGAAGAGAGCTCTGAACCGTGCAATTGCTCAAGCTTCACCAACCTGATAAGTTGCACCAACCTGAAAACGTTCCCTTCCTCTAAAGCCACTTGGATAAACCATGACGGTTTATGTAGAACAATGTCAATAAGTTGATTTTCAAAGCTATCAATGACAAAACGTAATTATGTTATCCTTATGCTTATGAACACAATATATTTATAGCAATCATGTTTCATTTCACTGTTTTTTTCCACAGGCTGCATAGCTAACCATCCTCGCGAGTTGGTTCCAGTCGTACGAGAGACAAATTAAAGAAGAGTTCAGAGGCTGCCTACAGGATGATCAAAACACTTACCAACTCTAAATCCTCTTAAGAATTTCTTCACTCCAGATGCACATGTACATTGTCCTGTTATCTGAGTTCTTGTAGACAATTAGTATAGACTCTTTGGAACTTTTCAAAACCGAAGCGATGGCCTCTGAAATGCAGCTGTGTTCAAAGACTAAAAATGACTGAAAAAAATTCAAACCTGTAATAATAACAATACATATAACACGGCTGTTCATTTGTGATAATCATTGAAAACGTATATGTGCACGATCCTCGAAGTAAAGCATCATTTAAGCAATAGTGAAAATCAGACCTGAAAAAAATTCAGGCCTGTACGGGATTCGAACCACATAAACCCGTAAGATGATAAATCAAACACAACGAATATATGAAATACCTATATCTAAACTGAGGTTATGAAACGTATATGTCCACGATCCTCGCAGTAAAGCACTATTATGTCGAATTGATTTAATCGCCTGCTCCCAGTTGGCTTGTTAGTTCAATTGATAGAGCGCTGCATTAGTATCGCAGCGGTCAGTGGTTCGAATCCCGTACAGGCCTGAATTTTTTCAGCTCTGATTTGCACTATTGCTTAAACAGTGCTTTACTACGAGGATCGCGCACATATCCGCTTCATAACCGCAGTTCAGATATATGTATTTCATATATTCGTTGAGTTTGAATCATTGACAAGATTTTTCTTTGCTTCACTCCTAAAAAAGATTACTCTTGAAATGTTTGTTGCTGCCCAGCTAAAGAAGTAACTCTAATTTAGATTATGGTATATTTGCCAATTCTTACTTCAGGCTCAACTCGTGAACTTTTTTATTTAATTCGGAGCTGTTGAGTGTAAACCAATGAAAGCCATGCTCGTGATAACCTGTTAAAAAGCGAAACACATCGAAATTATTCGAAGTGATTTAAGTCATTCGGCCGGTTTGCTTTCGTTACAACAAATCGTTTGTAATGTAAAGACGGTTTAGTTTTGTTCAATTCACTTTTTGGTGGGTTATCACGAGGATGGTTTTCGTTGAATGGAAACCATGCTATGATTGCTTACCAGTCGTTTCGTACCCATGGATCTTTCGAGACGAACCAAGACGATTCGTACCCAGGCTCAGACATTTCGTACCCACTTTCGATCAGTTCGTACCCAACCCTCTGGTCGATTCGTTCCCAACAAATTATGACACAAAATTTTTAAAATAAACATAGACATTTATTTCGTTTATCCTAGTAGTCGCAAAAAAACTAATTTCTAATCACAGAAACTTTGAAAAGTTATCTTTTAGTTAATACTCTTGAAAAATCGTGACCTGGTTGACCCATCCTAATATATTTTGCCTACAACTACGCAGCGCCTACGACTAAACGTACCTATTCTACTCATTAAAAAAGCTAGTTTCTAAATCATAGTAACGTTGAAAAGATATCTTACTCTTGAAAAATTGTGACCTAGTTCCCCCAGCTGACCTATCCTAATAAATTTTGTCCATTATCACGGAGCGCCTTACGCAGGCCACTGACACTTTTATTGTTAAGTAAAGTTCAACAATATAACAAATGAGATCACACTTATGCCTTGCGCGTGCGAGCGTGCATATTAATTTGTTGGGTACGAACTGATCGAAAGTGGGTACGAAACGTCCGAGCCTGGGTACGAAAGATCCATGGGTACGAAACGACAGGATACCCCTATGATTACCTACCAAGAAAAGTGACAGAAATTGGAAATGAACGTAATATCCGTATTCGTTACATCTCCACAATAAGAAGAAATATGTGTATGAAGTAGATGTTCACGGTGCACATGCTAGAGTTCACCAAGCAGAGTGGAATGGTTGATCAGTGGGGAAGTATAACAAGGTAATTATGATTTTTGATAATGTAAATTGGCCAGCTTCAAAGCTGACGTTTCGGGCGTTAGCCCTTCGTCAGAACCCTTCACTCTGATGAAGGGCTAACGCTCGAATCGTCAGCTTTGAAACGTCAGCTTTGATAATCTTTACGGTGGTCAATTTGCGTTATCAACTAAGTTGACAAAACCATAAATTACCCTCGAAATTTGGCCAAGTCGCGCGATTGCAATCTGGCTCGGTGCTCGCCTATGCAAGGGTCTGCTTGGAATCGTCCTGCACCTATTCCTAGCGGCTCCGATGGTTTGCTTACTATGATATCTCCTTAACTAATACAATATCCAAGGTGAGAGGAAAGTGTTTTTTCTTATAATAAATGCCCACAGTCTTATACATTCCTGTTATTTTAAGTAAGTTTCAAATGCCTCTTATCTTCGTACGAGAGACAAGATGGGAGCTCAATTTTTACAGCACTTTCCTCCTCGACATCGTTCTTTTGGTCAGCATCGTTATCAGGACAATTTTCGTCTTTCTCATTATTTTTCGCTTGGTTGTCGTACGTTACTGAAATAAAAGAGCCAGCAATATTTGAGCCACTGATGTTGAAATTGAATCGATATATATTCACCACTGCAACTCTAAACAAACAAGACCCAAGTAAGGAATCAAAATCAAGCTACAGGTACCTGATTCAGGAATACTGTTTCCCAGACAATCCTTCGCTCCCATCATCCAGATAAGGGTACTTGGCGCCACATCAGGTTCATACCATGATTCAGTGCGCACCTTGGGTGTAAAACACTGAATCCTTGTAAGGTGAAGTTTGTCCTTTGTTGGTAAGTATCATCACGCGGTCATGATACTTACCAACTTACTGTTAGTCTGAGGAATAAAAAGAAAAACAATATTGAATAACCTTTATCGCACAGAAACGTCTCGCAGACTTGGAGCCTTCCTCTAGCGCCAAATGAAAACAAGAACCTCGGATTTTATCGAAGGAATGAATGCAGTGCGTCTTATTACAGCACTGGTCAGGTCAAGGTCTTTTTTTTATACGTTACATTAACGACGAACTCAGACTTGTTCACAATCGCTAAAAATAAACATTTTTGAGGCAAAAGGACGACTATACACCTCAGGTAAAGTAATTCAACGTTTATTTATCATTTATTTATATACATAGTCAGCAATATATCACTATAGGTGAGGCAAACGGTAAATCTGGTACATTCACTATAAAACAACACACGGCTACACAAACAGACTATATTGGCCTGTGGTGTTTCGCGAGTTTCCTAAAACTGGAGACCTCTGTCTAACTTGAGCCCGCGTTCTGAGGAAGTTTCAGAAGACTAAAAAGACTGGGAACGAGTATAAATGAGGATTGGCTGATGAAATTGCCTTTAGGATTTATTAATTGATTCTTATGATTTTAAAATCTTTTCGTGAAAGGTTATTCTTATGACATGCCGACCGTAGACGTTAAGCGAGACTTGCTATTCAAGGCCATTGGAAAGGTGTATAGTAAGTATTATCGGTTCAAATCGAATACACGTGGAAGGAATTTTCGAACGAATAGCTAATGAAGCAATGGGAAAGTGAACTAAGTCAGGAGTTGTTTGTTACTTGTTGCAGCTGATGAAGAGTTTGAAGAACTGTGCTTTGACTTTGGACTTGAACTGGATGAAGTGGTAGGCATCATCTGCATTATATTTGTGCCGTATATTCTCCATTTTCCGTAGAAAAGAGTCTCGTTGTTAGTATTATTTGGGATTAAGAGAGTTATCTGGGCCTCCATTAATGGTTGGCTAAAAATTTGCTGTGCACACTATTTAATCAGGGATAAAATGCCTTAGGATGAATTCTTCTAACAATCAAACTGAGTAGAATCTGACCGTCAGATCTTACAGAGAAATCATGCGCACTTTAAACAAAAATCTAATGAAAGAATGATCAAAAATATATTTAAACACTCGCTGATTTAGTCACAACCCATACAGGAAATGGATACTGGGAGCTGCTTTCTGCACATACTCCATACCTCATTTTGTTAATGTTGTTTTTGTTGATGTTTCTTTTGTGTGTGTGTGTTGTTGATGTTTTCTTTGTGTTGTCCACCAAGTTTCACATGGTGTGATTCTGAAATACACACAGGTTGAGGGGGAAGAGGAAGGTGATGAAGGAGTTATCTACAAAATTGAAATCCCAGCCAACAGGTGAACTTTGTCATATTTAAATTATGAGCAACTTCTGGACTTATCATCTTGCAACTCTTCATAAATCCAGAAACATTCTTTTCAACTTTTATGCTCAAGGCCGTACTCTTCATCCCTTGTAGTACTAATAGAGTGTGTGTGTGTGTGTGTGTGTGTGTGTGTGTGCATGTGTGTGTAAGTGTGTATGTGTGTTTCTATTTTGTGTCAATTATTTCCTTTGTTCATGTTGATGTAAATTAGTCCATCAATTTGATTTTAATTTTGATTACACAGATATGACCTTCTATGTCTGGAAGGAATCTCTAGAGGAATTCAAGTTTTTCTTGGAAAGTGAGTTTATGGGAGAATTCTGTTATCTAATTGTCACAAAAGTTTTGTTAAAATGTTTTTTTAATTGATACAAAAAAAGAACTTCCTTGATGAATGCTGCTACAAAAATGAATCAAATTTTTGATCTACAAACTATTTCAGCCAACAGAATTTGGTGGCAAGTTTTGAATTTTGTTGCAATGTCCTCTGTATTTCTCTTGTCTTAAAAATTCACATTGAAACTAACACCAATTGAGAGCTTAAGGCAGTGAGTTAGTAGATGTATTATTTATGTACAAGGTAGTTGGTTTTGTCAATGTAGTTGATAATATAAACTGGCCACCATAAGGAGTTTCTAAAGCGGAGGTTTCTAATGTTGGCTCTGTTAGAGGACTTGACGAAGGGCTAATGCTCTGACGAAGGGTCAACATTCAAAATGTCAGCTCTAGAAAGTCTTTGAGGAGACCCCCCACAAACAGTACCACCAACAGATTCTTCTGAAACTCACCCCCTTACCTAAACTTGCTTTGATTAGTGGTCCTCCTTTATTCCTTTTATTTCAGGATAAAGGCACCTAGATACAAAGCTGTGAAACCCAGTGGTGCTTTGCAGAGGTTGAAAATCTCAAAAAATGTATGTATTTTCTCCCCTGTCCATTTTTATATTATGTAGTTATAGGGTTTGCTTAGAAATGTCTCTGAGTCTGATTTAAATGATTCTTTGGTTCTAATTAAAGTCAATGTATGGAAAAAGTGTATTAAGCTATGGTTCCTTGAGGTTACCTCTTATTTTCACTTTTAAGCAGGAAGAGAAGAGAATAACAAAAAAGAGACTGAAGTGACTTATAGAGGATGTTTTCTTGATAAACCACAGAATTCAATTAAAATGAGGAAACTCTTCAGTCATGGCAGTGAAGGGTTTGAAATTGCTGCTCTTAAGTCCATTATGAAAGGACAAACATTACTGAGATGCTATCAAAATCCGTGAATTATGTTTTGCATGAATTACATGTTGGAGGTTGCAACCTTTTAATGAAACTCTAGTACATGTCAAGCAAATAGAGAACTTCTCACCATTTTGGACATTTTACTTAGTTTGAAATCCCATGGAATTCTGAGTTTCCCACAGAGTAGACTTCTTTATTTTTGAATTCCATGTAAATTTAAGTGTAATTCTTCAACTACTTTTGTTATATCAAGGCTGTGCTCTAAGAAACTTGAAGGGAGCCCAGTGCTCAGAAACTGTGAAATCCAGGGTGCCCAGCATATGCTTTTTATGAAAAACCTAAGATTCCTGGGTCACCCAAGAACAAATGTAAGGCTCCAGGGGCCACCGGGCGCTACTAGACCACAGCCCTGTATATGTCTACCAAACAAATGTCTCTTGATGAGTCATTTGGCCATACATGTCAATTAGCAAAGAGATATAATTTTGTCAGAGTACAATGTAGATGAAGTGTTTTTTCTCTGTTTTTACAGACAGCTCTTGTCAGACCTCACTGTGTTGCTGCTCTCATAAGAAATATTACTTTCACTCAGGTAGTGCCATTTATTTTTTAATAATAAAAGTTCTAAATTTAGGCTTCAAAAAATCAATAAGAAAAATGAGAAAAGTGATGGAGATGAAAGAAGTCAACCAATCAATTACTTGTGGATTTAAAAATCAAAATCATTAATGAAAAATAATGTTTGATGAAAAATTGTAAACATATTGTTTTACAAATACATACAACAAAACATCATTAGTCAATTACATACATCACCTGTCATTTATTCTCTGTGTATGAAGAAAGTAACGTGTGAGCTTTTTCTCATTATAACTTCTTTAACTCAAGGAAAGTTATAACAGCTTCATTGACCTTCAAGATAAACTCCACCACAATCTTTGCCGGCGTAGAAGTCTTGTTGCCATAGGAACTCATGATTTTGACACCCTGCAAGGACCATTTTTGTATGATGCCCTTCCTCCTCAAGAAATCAAATTTATACCTCTTAATCAGGTGAGGCATATAGATTTATTTACTTCACTGTACAACATTACGAAAAATAACATTAATTTTCATTCAGTCATTGTAAGGATGCCCCATTACATTCAACAATTAAATTAGATTTGAGATTTGAGATTTGAGATAGTTTTGATTGATGAGCCCTACTGAACAAGATTGTATCTGCCTAGACATTTGATGATGTAGTGAAGTACCCAGATTTGTGCACCTGTTGCCCATCTAGGGTACTTGCTCCCTGCATATCCTTCAGTGCAATTCTGTACTACAAGACTTAAAAATGTATTCCTAAAACTGTAAAGTTTGTGCCAATACCCATTTTTAACAAAGGTTTATACCAATCCCCTTGAATAGGGTATAGCATAATGGGCCATCACAATGAGATATCCTTGTATGGACCAAGTTTTAGGTAGCAGAACTATTTTTGAGTCTGATTTTTGTCCTTATAGTCTCCTGGGGTGTCTTGTTACTGAAAAAATGACAATCTACGCAAATGTAATGCAACAAATGTAGCACTTTGATTTGGAATTTTTATAAGTTCTCTTTCAATAAATATAACTGTGTACAAGTATATGATGTGCTCCATTTAAGAACCAGCTAAATGGAATGTAAGTTAAGCAAGTGAGAAGCATTTTATTTGTCTCATTGGCAGAGGATTGGATAATAAGAAGGCAAGCCTACAAGTCTTAGTCCAACTCATTTTCTTTCAGACTAAAGAATTTACTGCTGTTGAATTGATGGACCTGTATAAGGTAGGAAGCTGCGGAGTTCTTTTGGGAATGTCTTCGTTTTCCTTCCACAAGGTCTTTCACGGTTTTAATCGTTTTTGTGCATCAAGAATTGTTGTAAATTTACATTATTCTTACAACAACAAAATTAAAAAATGCCATTACTTAGTGTACACAAATTTTGGTATCTTCCAACCAAAGATTACTATGAGAGATGTTGAAAATTTGATTAATGAAAATAATTGTTTATATTGTGGAGTGGAAATCTTGTTATACCTCACTGTCTGCAATAAGTTTACAATATTATTGTAATTTTTGTTAAACCATTTTTTTTGCCTTCTCTTTTTGCCTGTTTGCATAATTTTGTTTATTCTGTTTAAAGGGCGAAAGCCACTTAAAACAGTACCTGTCAATCATCAGGGACAAACCAGTTTATCCTGTTATATTTGATGCCAAAAGTGTTGTGCTGTCAATGCCACCAATTATTAATGGTAAGCTTCAAAATTGATATGAATTGTTGTGATTTCTTTATGATACAGCTGACATGTAGCCAAGGGAATGTTGAGGGTGCAACATTCATTGGTGAGAAGGACAATTCATTGGATGTCAGCCATGATTAACGATGACCAAGACAAAAGAACGTGTATACCAAGAAGTGATTTCTCTGTGTCTTTGGTTTGTACTTAAGTTTGTAAGATTGTCCTATGGATATCAAAGTGAGGCATAGTTTTATTTTACAAGTGTTCAGTTTTCAGTTATAAACTACTGGTAAGGCTCTGTGGATTTAGTAATGCTTAACTGACCACAGAAACAATATGCTATTCAAGACTACTCTTTTGGCACAAACCATTTTGTTATTATAAACTTGGTTCACATAATCCATTTTTTAATTACAAGTCTGATGTTGAATCATTTATAAAATACCTGTTATTTAACAACCTGCCTCCTACATCAGGTGAACATTCCAAAATAACACTCAACACAAGAAATGTCTTCATTGAAAGTACAGCTACAGACCTTCACAAGGTAAAGTGTTATTACTGATAAGAATGAATACTGTGTTTAAAGTTAACATGACTGAACTTTATGTGTTGCTGTCAATCAGGTGATCATACATGTCTACAGTATTTCATATTCAAGACTCCCTCTGTTAACCAGAATGATTTACACCTGAGCAGGGCTCGACACTAATGATAGACAGTTGGTCACAGACCAGTAGAAATAAAGTTTGGCTAGTGCTTTTAGATTTCCACTAGCCAGTTTTGCTAGTAAACAAACTGAAATTGTCGTAACATCTAAGTTGTCACTAGCCACTTAGCTTGGAAGTTGGAAAGTTAGTGTTGAGGCCTGCTTGAGGTAACTTTGTTTAACATATCATGCACTAAGTGCATTGGGATATCCTTTCATTCATAAATGTAGCTAGAATTACCGCAAATGGTACGTACGACCTCAAACTCTTTTGTGGAAGCATCTTAACATCCCTGAACCTAACCTTGCACTTTAAGAGAAACGTTATGTTTGTTTCTTTTTTTTTTTTTGTTTTGCCTCTGTACATATTTTAAATAATTATGTTAAACAAAGTTACCTCTTAAAAGCACGATCATTTCTTTTCATTATTAGGCCAAAATAGTCCTGGATACACTTGTGACAATGTTTAGTGTCTACTGTGATGAACCCTTCATGTAAGTATGGAAGGAGTAGTTTAAAGATCAATTGAAAAAGCAGACCCAAATTATTTTTTTATCTAAATGTGATTTTTGAAGAACAATGACATTATTTTGAAACACAAGCACTCTTTTGCATAATAAATATTGCAATGTATCAATCCTCCAGATTTTTGCCACAGTTTCAAGCAAGATGTTAAGACAATTTTGATTCATCAATATTTTTTGTTTTACTATCCTTAAAAAAATATGGCAGATCATCTGTAGAAAATAAATAGAAGTTGATTTTAATGATGTAAAAACAAGTCACTAGAGCAAAATTTGGTTTGATTTCTCAGAAAAAAAAAGTTGGCTCTAAAGAAGTGACTGGTTTGGCTTCAAGTCACTTTCAATAGATATCCTGTTAACTCAAATTCCTTTAATTTCTTGAAGTTTGAGACAATATCAGTGAATTGTAGGTACATTTATGGCATAGCCATCCGTGTATAGACTTTGCCTAAGTGGTACCAGTAAAACTCACAGGGTACATTTGATACTGAAAAAGGCCAAAACACTGTGGCAATGATACAGTAAACTTATTACCAAACCTTTAATGATTAAAATGTGAACCTTTTCTGTCATAGGGTGGAGTCTGTTGAAGTTGAGCAGTCAGATGGTTCAGTACTTGTTTATCCAGTATGTTACACATCAAACTCACTTTTGCATCACAGGAAGCTAATAAACTACCCTAGCCTGTCCACAGACCTGTTTTCTCTTGTCCATAGAACTAGAAAAATGAAAGCTGCCAGCAAAATCACCAAGTGGATGTGAATGCCACCGTATTGAAGCTCTTTCATGCTCACGTTTCACTCAAAAAAGACAGTTGTGGGCTTACCGTATATTGCTACCCCTTAGTTGATCATTTCTGATATTTTGACCAAGGTTTCATGTGACACACAGCAGCACTGTAGGCTATCTCATCAGCCCTTTGTGTGTGATTACCTGTTTGAATCTGCACAAAATGTTGCCTCATGATTTTTCCCATCCTTTTTTTTTTTTTACACTAGGAACTTAAATATCGCCATGAAGTGGTTAGTGTAGAGCAGATCAACAAGAAAATTGGAATCAAGTAAGATGTTGTTGTAAATCAATTATATACATGAAGCAAGATGACCTATTTCTTAAACTCCATTTATTGAGCTGATTAAATTTTTTTGCCTGTTCACAGGGAATCTCCAGAGAGAGTTGCAGAATTGTTGACAAGAATGTGCCTTCAAAGTGAAGTTACCGAGGGTGGAAAAAATGTCACAGTTGAAATTCCTCCAACAAGAGCAGATATCCTTTCATAGGACTTCTTAATCTCGTTTTGAACTGTATACAGTTTTTATCTAAAAGAAAGATGTACTTTAACCACAGCATTGTTGGCATAACCATTGTTCATTTGCCATGTACATCCGGGCTTTGTGAGCACACTGTGAAGCTTGCTAGTTACCTCTACATTTCCCATGATTCGTTTTGTTCCCATTTCTTAGCCTTGATGCATTTAATTTATGCCCTCTGAGTATGTTGGAGAACATTCTTCCACATTGATTATTGTTTGAACAGCACCTAAAAATGCACCAGGTTACATTGATCTTATTACATGACTTGGATCTTTTAGAGACTCAGATTCACTTGTCATCTCTAATGTAATGTAACAAAGAAGGTGAACATTTTGAGTCTGTTGTTAATTAATGCACCAGGTTATATTGATCTTATTACATGACTTGGATCTTTTAGAGACCCAGGTTCACTTGTCATCTCTAATGTAATGTAACAAAGAAGGTGAACATTGTGAGTCTGTTGTTAATTAATGCACCAGGTTACATTGGTCTTATTACATGACTTGGATCTTTTAGAGACTCAGGTTCACTTGTCATCTCTAATGTAATGTAACAAAGAAGGTGAACATTGTGAGTCTGTTGTTAATCTCTTGAAATGTTACATTCAGCTTACTGGAGGAAGGTTTGTTGGTCTTTGGTTACTGACGTCATTTACCTTGACATTTTACAAACATGATCCATGAGTGTGATATCATTGAAGATGTGGCCATTTCTCATGGATTTAACAACGTTGTAAAGAGAATACCTCCGACCAATACTATTGCTAATCAGGTGGGATGAGCACAGCTTCATTTAAACTCTCTGAATTGGAATGAATTTGCAAGTTAGCTTGCTTGTTTTAAGATACCTGTCTATCTGTATGCTCCTGCGTAAGGAAATGATATTGTAGATTGATAGATTGTACATAGATCTTAGATTAGAATAATCAATGTGTAGTTGATAAAAGCCTCTCGATTCCTTTTTGAAAGTTTTATTGTCAGTTAAATTAGTGAGCCCAATTAGCATGTACCTGTACAGCTAATTACATTTGACACAAAAAAAGGTTTTTCTTCTTTTTCGTTTTTTTTTATTAATCCAAGTATATGTCGTAGTTCAATTTTATCCTTGGTTCAAATTTTATTTTCCTTTGTTTCAAACTCATTATCATACATTAACATGACCGAGAACAAAGGAAAATAAAATTTGAACCAAGGATAAAATTGAACTACAACAGATACATATGTTATCACTTATTCACTTCTTCCTTGTACATTTTACATTTAGTGTAAGTTACGCACAGCTGTAGTTGCAGTCGCAGTCGTAGCAATCGTTCTGATCACATAGCAGGGAACCTAAGGTGTTTAACTTCTGCCGCACTAAACTTCTTTTCCAGTTCAAGCTGAACACGCTTTGTGATCTGCTGAGACAAGAAATAGCCCAAGCAGGGTTCACGGAAGTTTTAACCTTCGCTTTGGTAAGCATGAGATGCTTTTTCCCAGATAGCTTTACCCAGTGATTTCGCGAAGCTTTGTTTGTTTCCTGTGTTTGAATGTTTTGCGTGGCTAAATGCTTCTGTTTGTCATAAGAGAAGAACAGAATTCGACTAGACCTCATTTTGGCTCTGGTGTTCTTTACGTAAATCTGTTTGTCACAAATCATGTTAAAAAATTGACGCATCAACCCGACAAGTCAGTGTTTTAGAGCTCTTCTTAGAATTGGCCTCTGTTTGTAGATCTTTGGCTACAATTTATCTGAAGTCCTAACGACCTCTCTTTTCGTTTTCCAGTGTTCCCGCGATGATGTCTCGGAGAAACTTAAAAAGCCTTTGTCATCTTCCAAGGCTGTTCACATCGCAAATCCAAAAACACTGGAATTCCAGGTTTACTATTTTTTTTCGTATTGTCCATTGATACTTAATTTTTTTTTCACATTAATTTTAAAAGCATGACTATGTTTTCTTGTGCGAGAATCTCGCCTTTAAACCGGTGAATTAAAAATAATAGAAATAATGGGGTTTTCTCCCGCTCTATTATTTGTACTTATGATTCTGGCTTGTTTTAAAGAACTTAGAGGTAAATCAGAACTTGGATGGTGCAAAGAGCGACCTGGTCATTTGCGCTCTGCTTTGCCTTACGCCAGTTATCACTGGGCTCTAGTGATATTTTTCTTTTTAATTGGCTGTTGCTAGGTTTTGATCTTACGGCACTCATCAATAAGCACTTTGACCATTTCAATTCCTTGCAGGTCGCAAGAACAACACTTATGCCCGGTATCCTAAAGACCATTAGCTGTAACAAGAAGATGCCACTCCCAATGAAACTGTTTGAAATTTCAGACGTGGTACACAGTGATGATCAGAAAGGTGCAGTGCCTGCGTCTTGTTGATAATATTTGCACATCTTATATGCTCAAAAAATAATTGAAATGATATTTGACTGCAGATGATAAAGAAACAACGAGGTGATCCTTAAATGAGTGCTACTACCATGTGACCTACGACGCCACATTTTGGGAGCGAAGCACACCTGTTATAGTCACTGTTAAAATCTTTTTTTCTGCGGTTGTGAACAGAGTAGCTCATACTTCGTGTTTGTTTGTTTGTTTGTTTGTTTTCAAGATGTTGGTGCTCGAAATCACCGTCGCTTCTGTGCCGCGAATTACAACAAGACGCCGGGATTTGAGGTAAGATCACTGATGCTATATGGGAGAGGTAATGATTAACTGAGCACACAAAGCCTTGTTCGTCAAGTCTCGCGGTAATTCTAGCACCTTCCCACAATTTCCCTCCGAAACTCGTTTGATATTATTTTTTACTTGTGCTTTAAGTAAAGACTTCACCACTCTTCAGGTCATTCATGGTTTGTTAGACCGCACCATGCAGCTTCTCGAAGTACCTTACGCAGAGGATAAAACATCACCACATGGATATTATCTAAAGGCTCATGAAGGTATCTGTGTACCTCCATGAAACATTATTTGAACGACCAACTGACTGACAGACAACTAACTAACGTAATGTCTTAGTAAATGTCTCAAGTAATGCTTTATGCTTGTTTACCATCAAGCTCGTTCCCGCGTTTATTAATTTATTCATTTGATGATATTTCAGATGAGACTTTCTTTCCTGGTCGATGTGCGCAGGTGATTGTGAACGGAAAGCCCATTGGCATCATGGGTGTATTACACCCTGAGGTTGTCAGCAACTTTGAGTTGAATTTGCCATGCGCAGTGCTGGAACTGGACGTGGAAGAGTTCCTTTGAGGGAATCAGTAGCTCCTGAAATTCAAACCTGAAGTTTTCAATATTTAACTGCAAAGAAAAATGAATTTAAGAAATGTTTCTGAAGTCAGCGAATTGCACAAATGCTTGTTGCATACAAAGTATGCTATAACACTTGACTTTGCACGACCCTGGCGATAAAGCTTTTGCAACTGAGTAATACGCGCTGTGTGATCTTTCGTTTCCTTTAATCTCACCATAATGGCGCGCAGTTTGAAAGTTTTGCTAAATTTTTTCACATGTTAAGAAAGTGAAGGTTTCGAAGGAAGCCTAGCAGAAAAAACAAGAAATGAACTAGAATACCTAAAAATACCTAAATTGGAACAAATTGGAATTCTCGTTATGTTGCTTTGTTTGTTCTTTCATTAATTTTACTTAAACGATAGTTTTTCATTTGCCCCTTTGCTTGCTCAGTAAGTTACAAGTTACAAGCAATTGACAGAGACTCGCTTATGTCGTCCGTGCCTCTGGTTAGTTCTTATCATTTTTACGTCTTCTGTGTCTCTCGCTTGTTAATAGAAAAATAGAATCTATTTGTGAAATAGATTCGGCTGTATGTGCACGTTACTTTTCAAGACCTAAAGGTAACAATTTTTAAGCGAACGATTAGTATTCAAATCCATAAATTCCAAGATAGTTTAAACAGGCCCGGTGTGTTTTAATAACAAGGCCCTGAGGAATGTCAGGTCTTTTCTTAGATCAGCAAATTCCATGTCTGGTTCCTACATCGCTCTGTTGTATCACTGGTCTGTACATTTTATGCCTCCGTTGTGCTGACTACCTTACAAAAACTAATCCTAAAGGGGACTATAGAAGACCCAAATTTTGTTTGTGTTCATGAAAGAGAGGAGATCTAGACGGACTTTTTTTTCAGGCATAATAAACAACTGTAAACAACTTAACGTGCCGATAAATTTTTCGCCAAAGTAGCTGTTTGTGGTGTATATAGATGTCGTGAGTGTGAAAATGAACTGCAATTTTCAGTGTTGGATTATAAGAATGAAAATAAACAAGGTTACTCGTGGGTTTGTCTTTGGGATTTATTATTAACCGCAAAGGTCAGATTGAGGAAAACCCGTTTTTGTGGTCTGACACTCGATTTAGGTACCATTGGTCTCTTGATGGATTGGTGGATTCACGTGTTTTTTTCCTTTTGAACTACCCAAACCTCCAGAACCGTAGAGAAAGGAAAAAGGAAATTGTTGAAGGTTACTCTGTGAGCGAAGGGAGACGTGACAGTCCTGCCTACTGGGTCGTCCGTTCTACTCGATTTGGCCGCCCTTCCCGCAGTGTGTGGTAATTTCAAACATTTTTTAGAACATTTTAAACGAAGAATCCTAACAAGATTTCTTAGGGATATATAATGACCTTGGAAACTAAACCCGTTCGAAACTATTGCAGCTTTTAAGTTTCCAGGAGAAACAAGACATGGACAAGTATTGCTATTTATGAAATGGAAGTTTGAATCGAGTGTACACCCTTGCGCACAAAGGGGGGCAATAACGCATTAGCTGGGTAAAAATGGTCTGCAACAAGGTGTGGACATGCAACCCCGACAATTGATAGCAACATGGACAGCTAACAGGAAACAAATTACAACTGAAATCGAAACAGCGTACGACTTAAGCCAACAACAAACTTCAAAAGGTCATGCAAACTGTCCATCGAGATAAGCGAAGGAGTTCTACAGGTGGACGAAATATTTACCATAATTTCGCTATGTACCGTCTGTACAACGCACGCCGAAATCAAAATTTTTTCTTTTGCGGTTAATAGCGATATAAAGTTTATTTTTTGAGACCCGGTCTGTTGCCATAATCCGTGGATATAAGCTTTTTCACCTGTCAGTTTATCGTTTTGGTTCGCAATTGAGTAAACCTTTCCGCGAGAAATTATCGGACTTCCGTTTCTGTGCTTTAAGATCTGAGCGGTAGGCGGTTCCGTCGATATCGTGATCTTGCAAGGTCAAAGATAACGCGTAAACGATATCTCTCGCTGATTAGATACTTTGATCGAACTGAAGTCTGCAAAAGAATTGAACCTTTGTTTACAGTTTCTTTACCCCCATGGTGCAGCAAACACACGAACATTGCATAGTGGACGACATGTTGCCGCGATTTTACGTTAGATTGGAGCATATCTTTGGTTTCCTGGCTGTGCTGTTGTCTACCATCAGCAGATCTTTGGAGGTGAGCAATACTTTTTTTGTTGTGATTCGTTTAGTTAGGTATTACAGGTCTTTTTAACAGAAAAGGGGAAACCCAACCCAGGGGTATGGATACACTATAGCTATTTTAATTCTTCAGTTTGGGGAAACGTTTCGATAAGCTTGAATATACCGAGAATGGTCTCATTTCTTTAACTTGGGGAATTGCGCCAGTACAATTACAAACGTGTTGTGGGTTAAAATGGATTTTTAATTTTCTCCGTGAATGCGTCAAAAGCGAAGTGGACCAACTTAGATGCGCGGCATGATTATTAGGCTATTACCTGTTATGTCTAGAGTAGTGCGCACGAACGTTGAGGCAGTCAGGAAGCTCTCACAAGACTAAGTTTTCATACAATTTTCCAATTGATGGAAAAATGCCTGGCTAAGTACTCTACAAATGATTTTCGTTTTCATTTACGAGAGTAAAAAGATAAACATTTTAAGATATTTTCAGTCTAAGGTCATATACTTTCCAAACAGTGGCTCTAAAATACCCAGAAACGAGCGTGTCTCATAGAATTCGTGTTTTAACGTTTAGGAAAATAATTCTTCCAGTCGATCTATTATTTCCTTGGCAGTCGAAAAATATGAGAATCTAATTTGTTTTGACAGACTTGTAATCAAGTGCATTCCTTTGATGATTTATTTATTGAACCCTTTCGATGGAGAATTCCATCCAACCCATTTGGGAGTTCTTATCAAAACTGTCGGAAATGAATTCAAGATTGCATTCCCTGTGTCGATATTCAACGAAATTTAGCTTCAGAGAGATTTTGAGCGTTTGTTTTATTGAAACAGTTCGTGTCATTTTCTTTTTCGTGCTCTGCCCGGCGTCCAGCCGTAAGCCACGAGTCGGATCAGACAGATTTTTGCAGAATTCTTCATCCTTTTATACCAGTTTTTTAAAACATACTCCACATTTTCAAATGTCTCGTTTTCTTCTTATCCAGAACCCTGATATCCAATCTGACAGATGGAATTTGCCAGGAGAAAGTTATGAATCAGCCATCTGGGAAAGAAGACCTTCAGTGCGTAAGGGGAGACCACCGGGTTAGTGAGCTGTCTTTGACTTCCAGCGGGAATCTCATCAGTTGATGTTTCTTTGTTCCAGATATACTTCAGAAACACCTGCTTATTCACACCCGACAACACACCCCATTCGAACAAAATTTATCTGATCGATTATTAAGGGACTGATAAAGACTGCTTTCCTTAACGTCCATCGCATACTTCATGGGTGAAATTTAAGACCCGACGAGAGTCAAACTACACTAATCTGTCATAAATACCTCGCTGTAATGCTGAAGTCCCCATACTCTTAGCGGGAGATTTTCATCTCCGGGGAAGGAGATCAAAAACGTCACGAGAAAATTATGAAATGTCAGAGTCCTTAGTCACCATTTCAAGGATGCTTTTTCCACGAGTTTCTTCCTGTGTTTGGGATTTGATTCGTGCGTTTTGAACCAAATATTTTATAGATTCTCCAACCCTTACCTCCTCACGATGGATTTTTGGCATACAGTGTATGAAACTTGAAAGGTCATGTTGGGTACAACTCGCTCACTTGTTCTGCTTATATTCGCCACACGTTGCATCCCCTCAAGCTTTACTCCCGCTCCCGCCACTCGACATAGCCTTATTTGAGAGGCGAGTCCAGGTTTTCACCTGACTGATAGAGTAGTTTTCGTCCCATCATACCCGGGGGTAGATTTTATGAAATTGGAGAAGCCAAATGCTGGGGATGGTCGACACACGTGGAGTTTACTAAAATCCAGTTGACTCGGTTGTATTACCTAAGAGGAGTGAATATGCCTTACGGTCACTTACCCCATGCTTCCGTTAGGCGCTTTATCAGTAAAGGACACTAATTTTCGCACAAAATGTAAAATCGGCACTGTGTGTGTTTCTCTAATTTCGCCTATAAAATTCTAACGGTGTATTTTCATATCGATAATCATCACTGAAAGACCTGAAAGAATGTGACAGTTTACATTTTCACACTTCTCGCAGAATCACCAACCTTTCATAGCGAGTGCATTACACGGCAACAGTGAAACAACTTAAAATAAGATCCTTGCTAATCATTCTTGTCTTAGTTATAGAAAGCTTGTCTTATTTTGACAGGTTGCTGCCCTCCTGAATTGTACCTTGGGTTTGGAAGCGCCACTTCATACAGTGATCATGACAGTAGTGTCACAACTGCTGATGCACCCTGCAGCAACCACGCCGACTTGGATCTACAGGAGGTTCAATTTAGGAGTGATAAATTGGGAAAGATGACTGATGCCATCACAATTGCCGTCTGGGTTAACTTGCGAACCATCCAAGGCATTCAGCCAATTCTGGTCGTAAGAGGACAAAATGGCGAGCTTCGATTTGAGGTTGCTGAAGGTCACGTTACTTGGTTACACACCACGTTACGTTCACAAATACCAACATTTGCACTAATAAGCAGTGAACAAGTTTTAGAAAATAAATCGTGGACGCATATCGTAGCGCTATACGATGCTTACAACAGTCGCGCCGCGGTATTCGTGAACGGAAAGGAAATACTTCAGGGCCCTAGTGCTGGTGGATCACTGGAACTAACGTGGGATGAACTCCATGCTATCGGTCGATATAAAGTCAACGAGGGACTAGAGTTTAAATTGAAAGGGCTTCTTGACGAGTTCTACATCTACTTCTGTGCTCTTCCAAGAATGGTAATTCATAGACTTTTCCAAATCTGCCACATCGATGGAAAATGCGCTCCCTCGCGACCAGGCAAGTTTGAAATCATTTCGTTAGCAATCCGCTCTAATGTATTGGAAAACGTCAATGAGTTTAAACTCTTCAGTCTCTCTTCTCAGTTTTATCTAAACATGGCATCGATTTTGCAGTAACAGCTAATGTTCTTCATGGAATAGGAATAGGAAAACGTTAACTAGCATATTTATTCTCGGCAATCTCCTAACACTTCGTGATATAGAGGTTGCCCTACAGGAGATACTTCCTCATTTCGGTGCAGAAAACTTTTGATGGAGCCTTTAAATATAATTCGTCCACTTTACTTTCTTTCCTAGGTCTCGATAGGGTATGTGACGTCAGGGCATTCCGTTGTTGGAATGGACGATGCATAAGGCAGGAGTGGAAGTGTGACGGAGAGAATGACTGTGGAGACTGGAGTGATGAAATTGGATGTGGTTAGTTAATCTGCTTTCACTCCTTTTTCAGTTTTGTCTGCAGATCTAAATTAGGTTTAGTTTCATCCCTCCTCCGGTTCAGGAAGTAGCAAGGTTTGTGCTACTTCATGAACGGAGATCTCGAAAATCCCGGCTACAAAAACGAACCTTCATTGTTTGACCTCCTCATCCAATCGTTTTCCCGTGATCAATTGGGCTATGTAAGATTAAGGTATAGCAAAGCTGAATGACATTTTCTGATAAATAACAGCAATAATAGCATCAAGAAGTTACTCGATGTAAGAGGATTTTTTCTCATTCGATGATGATGATTTTAAATTTCCCCAACAGATGGCTTTTGTGAGCCTGGGGAGAAATTCTCGGTCTTTCAAGGACGATGCATATCGTGCTTTTGTATGGGACGTTCTCAGAATTGTAGCAGTGCAAGAGTGTACCGTGGCAGGGTAGGTTTCAAAACCTGGTGTGATTCAAGAATTTTGAGGCCAGGAAAAAGGTGTTTATTCGTGATACACTTTGCTGATATTATTTAATCAATTACTCCACATCTTAATAATAACTTTATTTTTTCCAGCTCGCTCTAGAATTGAAAACTGATGCCCGTCTCACTGATGTGCCATTGGTGGATGTGCATGGATCTTAAGTGTCCGGTATTACCTATAAACGGGATCCCTTTAGCAATGTGATATCAGCCCTGGTTACGTCGGAAGGAAAATTACATTTCTGGGCTTTGCCAAAAAAGTTTATGGGCAACAAAGTAAGGTTAACATCAAAGTTTGCAATGCATACTATGTCACGCTGTTGATTTAAGCAATTTTCATACTAACAGAGTTGTGTTCTTTCATTCTGTATCTTTACTGTCAATTAAACCTGAAAATTTGTACGGGTGTCGCGTCTAGGTACTGAGGGATGGCTTACTGTAGAGATTTTAATTTAGCTGGCTGTGTAAAAAATATATACCTTCTAAGAAATTGAATTGCTATATTTTTTTTATCGCAGCTATCAAGTTATGGCGGAAAACTACGTTACACTGTCAAGAATGTCATTGGCAATGCATCGGCGAATGAGGAAAATGTTCCATCGAGAAAAGTGAGAAGTGCAGGAGAAATGCTCAGTTTAGAGGCTTTAATAGACAAATATGCCACCGATGATGTCCGCGACGTAGAAGACACTGACATTGACATCGACACTGACGCATCAGGAACAGAGGACCCTTCTTTGGATGTTTCAGAAAATACTTTGTCTATTCTTACGACGCAGCTTACACCCAGTAGAGTTAAAGAAACTCCACCTATTTTACCCGAAACTAACGCAACGTCAAAACATCCTATCAGTTCCGATGACTCCAGAAACGTCACAGAGAATTCTGGAGCCCCAACTGCAGCAACAAACTCCGCAACTGAACGAACAGGAACAAAACCTCCACCAACCATCGACACGGGAAATATTTTGACAACACCAACTGTAGAAACAACACCCTCTGTAGAGGTTGACGGAGACACCGACCTAAATATTCTCTCGGAAAATGAAGAAACAAAAAGAGTTTTTAGGATAGTTTCCACTAGGTCCGAGCTGCCGGCAACCACAGCAACTCGACTGACGAAAGGGGAAACTGTACCTTTTCAAACAACTCGAGCAGTTTCTGACGGGTTAATCGCGACATCGGCAACTCACACTTCTCTCACAACATCGAATCCTTTGCCTCAAAGTCGCGACGAAACAACCCCAACTGTTTTCTTTTCATCCCTAAGTACCCCGGAACCTACCTCGAAAGCTATCGCAACTACCCCAAACACGTATGACACAACAAAGAGTGCATTAATAGGCAGTGAAGAAGCCAAAACAACATCCTCAACTTACGGCAGTGACAGTCCAACATTAGAAATGGTGACAACAATACCAGACATAGCTTACACGACAACTAATTTAATATCCTCGAGGAGTAATTTACTAGAAACTTTTCCCTCCGAGCCTAATGCACCGAACAATGGTCAAGATGGGCCACCCACCAACGTACCTTATTCGACTTTCAGCACTTCTACAAAGACGAGACCACCAGAAACGTTTTCCACAGCACCTAGTCGAGTCACCGATATACGAGAGGATTCAACTACTGCCGCTGCAGTGCCTTCAGCTCACACCACCACGGAGCTTACTGATCATCCATTGACAGAAATGTCGCAAACTCCCCTCCCTAATACGGATCACAACAGCATCGAGAGGGCTACCACGGAATACGTTTCAGTATCTCCACATACGTCTGGAACGACAATGATAACATCGAGTGGTGCGAATCAAGAAATAATTAACACCGAGTCGGTTTCAGCTGACATTACTGACGTTCCTACTTCGAGAACCGCCACAAAACCAAATACGTTTCACAGTACAACTCCTGAATCAGCTGTCACCAAAAGTGATACAACTGGCATTATATCTTCTTCCCAGTATGTTTTCAAAACCGCTTCCCATAAAATTAGGACATTGTCAGGCGAGGCGAATGATAGCGAAGATGTCATTACCACTGCGATATCTCCTTCGGCTTACAGCAACGAACAACTTTTTTCGGAATCTTCGCCATCCGTAACAGATTCGTCTTTAACCAAAATATCACCGGACGGTGAAGATACATTAACTGCCTCTGATCTTCTTCCTGCTTCTATCACACACTCGCCTTCCACACAAATACCAGATACTTCTCATACAAGGAGAGTATCAGACACCTCTTACACATTAACAACTTCAGTCGGTGATCGAGATGAAACCACTTACATCCCGAGATCTTCAGACTACAAAACTGATATTCCTTCTTCAAAAACCGTGAGATCGACCACAGACCCTTCTTTCACAACAACCAGTGAATCAACCAATGTCCAATTTGAAACAAGTACCTCGATGCCTCCCTTATCCTACAGTACTGAGAGATCACCAGATGTATTTCACTTAACAACGAAAAAATCAACGGATAGTCCAGATGGACCTCTTACCGCCGATGTACAAGTACCAACTACTTCTTACAATTTGACGGGTACCTCTACTGCTGGCAAAGATGAAGCAACCACTTTCACTGATCTATCAGTTATTAGAACGGAAATGCCAGCTGCTAAGAAAGAAATAACAATAGCACCTAGAACGGATGCAACTTCTGTAGATGGTCAAGATGAAACAACCACTGCTTTTCCTTCTTCAGCCTATCGCAGCAGCATTCCGCCCTTCAAAACCGGAATAACTGGCGCTGCAGATGAAAAAAGGAACACTGTACCTCCTACGACGTACAGTTCCAACCAAGTAGCCCCAGAATACACCAAACAGTTACCAGATGGAACAGACACAACATCTGTCGATGGTCAAGATGAAACAACCACTGCCTTCCCTTCTTCAGCCTACCGCAGCGGCATTCCACCCTCCAAAACCGGAATAACTGGCACTGTAGATGAGGAAAGGAACACTGTACCTCCTACGACGCACAGTTCCAACCAAGTAGCCCCAGAGTACACCAAACAGATACCAGATAGAACAGACACAACATCTGTCGATAATCAAGATGAAACAACCACTGCCTTTTCTTCCTCACCTTATGGCAGCAGCATTCCACCCTTGGAAACCGGAATAACTGACACAGTAGATGAAACAAGCACCACTGTGCCCCCTACGACGTACAGTTCTAACCGGATAGCCCCAGAATACACCAAACAGGTACCAGATAGAAGAGACACAACATCTGTCGATGGTCAAGATGAAACAACCACTGCCTTTCCCTCTTCAGCCTATAGCAGCAGTATTCCACCCTCGAAAACTGGAATAACTGACACAGTAGATAAAACAAGCACCACTGCACCCCCTACGACATACAGTTCTAACCAGGTGGCCCCAGAATACACCAAACAGGCACCAGATAGAACAGACACAACATCTATCGAAGGTCAAAATGAAACAACTACTGCCTTTCCTTCTTCAGCCTATAGCAGTAGCATTCCACCCTCGCAAACCGGAATAACTGACACAGTAGATGAAACAAGCACCACTGTACCTCCTACGACATACATTTCTAATCAGATAGTCCCAGAATACACCAAACAGGTACCAGGTACATCTTACACAGAAAGAGGTGTACCTACTGATAGCGTAAATGTCAAAATCATGACTGTAGTTCCATCATCCTATATAAGGGAAGGACCAACAACAGACTCTGTAACAACCAAGTCGAGTACGTCTTATTCGAGTACAACACCGGTCCCTGGTGAAGATGGAACAGCCACTAACGTGTATCCTACACCCCACAGTACTGCTGGACCTTCCTCGAAAACGACAAGAAAGAAACCAAGCACGTCACCTTCAGACGTGGTGTTAGTCGATCGCGGAGATGGCTCGACCACCAAGCTTCCTTCTTCAGGTTATAGTACTGACACGACTACCTTGACAAATGAAAAATCAACGATGCCTGATACATTTTACACCCCAACGAAATCGTCAACAGGTCAAATCGATGGTGGGGATGAAGTGACAACTGCTGCACCTGCTTCATACCACAGTACCGATAGAGTCACTCGGAAAACGGTGTCAGCTATCTCCGGCGAATCCCACACGAAAACAGTGGTAGCCACCACTAGTTACGGAAAAAAAACCGATGGAACGGGGAAACCAACCTCAGAATCCGTATCGACCTTATCTGTTGCCTCCTCTACAGGTCAAACATCGGTCGATGGTGATGATGGAATAACCACTGAAATCCCTCCTTCAGCATACAGTACCGTTGAGACTACCCCGAGAACAGATGGGGTAGTAACGGTCGATCGCGAAGATATATTGATCAGTACTGTCCCTCCTTCAGGCTACAGTACTGACACAAATATCATGACAACCGTAGCAACGATACCAGCAACATTTCATTCATCAATGAAAGTGCCGACCGACCAGACCGGCACTAGCGATGAAAGAACCACCACTGCGCCCTCCACATCCCGCAGTACTGAGACAACGATGGCACCTACCACTGGTGACGAAACAGCAGCATACGTAGCAGAGAAGCAGACCTCAGAAACCCTGACAACATTATCAAGTGTGTCTTACGCAAGCGCACCACCTGTCTATGGTGAGGGTGAAACAAACACTGGCGAGCCTTCTTCTGGCTACGGTGCTGATGGGACTACCACGACAGTAGCTAAGCTGCCAAGCTCTCGCACAACGGCGACAGCAACTGCAGAGGCATCGAAAACGAAAAAGATAATGGCCATCATAGGTAACGAGGAAACAACCAAGGCTGTGCCTAACGTGACTTACAGCAGAAACAGCCCTTCCTTTACAACAGTGTCGACAATCACGAATATATTACAAACAAAATCAAGGGTACTGACAGGAACAAATGATTTTATCACCACATCTGTGCCTTCGACAGCCTACGGTACTTCGACGGCTACTACGGAATCCACATCGTCTACCGCGACATCGACAAGAGAACCGACGTCGCAAAAAACAACACAAGGTTCGTGTTTATTTAAATACAAAAAAAGACACTCACTCAACGACATTATGAATTATCGTATTGCTTACCAGGTTATTTAATGGCTCTGTACCGTTTACTCCTTTAATTTTGTGCACTTCAGGTGTTTCCAATCTTAAAGTTACCCTTTTTACAGGTGATGTTTCAGAGATTAAGATTCTTTTCCATGAAATAGTGTCTTTTAACGACCACAATAACTTGTAGAGTCGGCGAAGATTTTTATCCAGCAAATAACATGTTCGCCACTTAGTGTTGTACATCCCGTTGCTTGTGTAATGACGATGGGACTGTGCGTTGCGCTCCACTCTCTATCGATGATTTTCTTATTTTTGAAGATAACGAAAGAGAGTTAGTGTCCCGTGCACTGGTGGAAAACAATAATTCTACTTATGAAAAGAAAATATTCATATTAACATGATAACTTCTGTACATGACACACAAGCAGATCCCTCTCCTTTTAACATCGCTGAAATGTTAGATTCACTGATCATTATGATGCAATGATCTCTTAGATATAACACCCTCAACCCCTGTAACTCAGCCCACAGCCTCTCCACCTTCCATGGTTGGGAAAGGAACAGAAGCAGTACGGATCATGGTATGGATTATATAAAAAAGTTTGTAGTGCATTCGAACTACAAGGCTAATTCTAGAAAATCGTTCAGGTGACTTCAATCATCCATGGCGCTTGAGAACCCAAGTAGATATCATCTGGAGAATCAAGTGAAAGTAATGCTCAGCTGATGCGTTTAGATCAGGCAAAGTTTGAGTGATTGCAAAATAAACAGGGAAAGAGAGTTCGTGCATGATAAATGAATAATTTTTCTTTCCAATATTTCACTTAAAGGGAAGAGATGGAAGCGTAATTGTCTATCATGGAATCCAACCGGGCTCTGGGAATGACAAGGCTACTATTGAGATCAAGCTCACTGAGGTATGAACAGTTATACTGAAATTAGAAGATATTTTTATCTAAATCATTTTACTAGTGGAGTAAGTCGTTGTGCAAGAACATTTGACCATATTTTTAATTACCTCGCGGATTAAGGATAGATTGTTTATTCCGCTCTTTCTTAGGAGGGATGGCGTTCAACTGATGGAGTGCCAGCCTCCAGGGAAAGTTTCATGAGGGTATTGTCAGATGTTCAGGGAATATTCATAAGGGCCTCTTATGACCATCGACGCTCCACTTTAGTCGAGTCAGTTAGGTACGTGATTACTTCGTTGTGACTACAACGGGAGATATCTATTTATTTAAGAGTCTAACGCTGACGTCTTTTTACTCTTTGGCAAGCATTAAAGATGTCTCTCTCGATGTGGGATCTCAAGAAGACGCAGGCCACGGCAAAGCGTTATTGGTAGAGAAGTGCGAATGCGCAGAAGGCTACGATGGACTTTCCTGCGAAGTAAGTTATCGATCCAGTTTTCATTTTATCTATGAAGCAAGGAATCAAAATTTGTATAAAGCAATCCCCACCTAGTCCCTAGTCGCAGCTATCTTTAAATTCGCTCTGACGAAGGGCTAACGCTCAAAACGTCAACTTTTTAACTCTTTATGGTGGCCAATTTACAATTTCAACTTAGGTAATATTTCCAAATTACCTTGTTACCCCCACCGACGCAGCACCACAGTTTCTTTAGAAACTTACCACCTTTATCCTTAAATAGTTTAACCTTCGCGCGGGTTATGCAAGTGACAAACTGTTCGCTCGAATTCACAAGTGATCACAAGTGACGTTACGTTTTATGCTGTTTTGCCGTAGTCCCAAATCGTCAAGCAAAGGTCTACTTTCATCGTTTTATTCTTATTTCCTATTTTATTCCTACGTTATTTACAATTTTGTAGGTAGTTGTTCCATTCTTCATACGCGATTTTTGTAACATTTATTATAGAAACCACCGGTAATGACGCGTATAGTTTAGAGTTTAAATCCAGAATTAAACTCCTTTACGTCTTGAGATTGTTTATAGTGCGTTGGTTATAGAATGCTTTTAAGTTAATGCAGAATTAAAGTTCTGCATTAATTTAGATATTGGGATATGAATCACCCTGCGTGGCTAGCGCAGATTTTTTTCAACGCTATTCTTCAGTTTGTTTTTCTGAAAAAGAACGCGATGAGTAATACTTTGCAAAGTTTTGAATGAACCCGTTTCGTCTGCCATTCTACAAAAGGAACTGCGATGAGGATTCAGAGGTGTTTAATGCTTTAAAGGGTAACCAGAAGAGATGCTTATTCCGGCGAAAAGACGGCTTACTAAAGAGTGTTGCTTCTTAAAAACGCACCAAGGGACAAAATACGATACATTATTTTTCTCCTGAGTTTTTTTTGTTACTTCATTTGCACTTATTTTGTGCTAAACCTAAGATATTATAGCCTTTTAGTTGTAAGAAAATTATATCCAGAAACGCAACGTCATACCAAGAAAATTTATAGCGATTTCCTTGTTGGAAATAAGCTTATAACAAACTTGAATTCTCGGACGGGTGCTTCTGAGAGGGGCATGTAACAGGTTGGTTTCACACCAGTTGACAGTTGACCTGGTCAAAATCGTTGCTCTTACTCCTCCTCTTCATAATGGTTTCTTTTTATAGTATTGTTCCCCAGGCTACACGCGGACTAGTGATGGACTTAATTGTACGAAGTGTTCTTGTAATGGACATTCAGATGTTTGTGACCAGGAAAACGGCACTTGCATCGTAAGTTACTTTGTTTCCTCTAGAGTCTCCGTTGTAATCTATTATCGAGATTTTAAATATGTTTGGGCCATCTGAAGTGTGCTTTTTGTGTTAGAGATTATTAGTAATCATCAAGATCACACAAAGACTAACGAGAATAAATTTTTATTAACTTCAAACGATAGTTATTTGAGTCTACGCTGTTATGCATTCCCTGATTGGCCTTTTGCCACTATTTTCGTTTCTCAATGATCTCACGGCCAAATTTTCCATTCAGGACTGCCGTTACAACACCGAAGGGTCGAACTGTGAAAGGTGTCGACCGGGTTACTTTGGAAACGCCTTGACAGGAACGTCCACTGACTGCAAGCCATGCCCTTGCCCGCTGACCATATCTCCAAACCAGTACGTCACCATTTTTTTTCCTTCAATTTTCATATATCCTCTGTCTCACGTGGTATTGTATGAGCCAATGCGAAATACCAACATGCGACGAACGCAGCAACATATGATAAACAGCAAATTTCGTCTATTCTAGTGGAACTTTTGCTCGGTTCTTGCAGAAGTGAAATAACTTGGTCACGATTTGGTCTACATCTTCGTGATGTGGCCGTTTGTAGTATGAAAATACTGAACGAATATCTTTCACTAGCGTATGTCTATAGAAGCTGACGTTTCGTCTAAACCTCCTGATACCTGTTTTCCAGGTTTAGTCCAACTTGTTTCTTGGACAGCGACGGTCTTCCAACCTGTGACGCATGTCCTGTAGGATATTCTGGACGAAATTGCGAGATGTAAGTGTCATGTGTTCAGCGGTGCCTCTGGGGACTCACAACTCAATCAAAGTGCGAGGAACGCCCTTCGTGCAGTTTCTTCGTTTATTCCTGATGCGCTTCAAAATCTATTAAATTGTATTGTAATTTTTATGCGTTTGATAAACAGTCGATCGCACAACTTTAGCCAGTTTTCATTCATTATATGAAACTTGAGAAGTTTTAATGAAATCCGCGTACTTTGTACTTACTTATAGATGTGCAATGAACTACACAGGAGATCCCATGATACATTATTCCAGATGTGAAATAGCAGGTAACGCCCGAATTTATCTGTTCTTCAGCACCATAAATGTTTTGAATAAGTGAGAACAGAGATATTGTAAACATAGTTGCTATGTAAAAGGTGGTTCTTAGGCTGACGATGCAACTCGTCGAAGGAGCTTTTGTAACCTATTCACCCTTGTACTTAGGTCAAATTGATTTTTTTTGTTCTATATTTTTTCAATTCTGTTTCATTTTCTTTACTCTCACTTTTCTTTTTCTCTGCTGATGCCAAATCAGCCAATTAAGATTTATTAATTTTCATGACCAGTTTAGTGACATACTACAACCATTATTATCCTTTTCCGCTACTTCTTCATGTAGCACCAGTAGAGTGCGACACTCGCGGCAGTTTAAACCCTGGCTCTGACGCTCGGAAATGTCTGTGCAAGGTAAAAACGTAATGTCTCTGCATTTTTCGCCTACTGTTTTTTTCATGTTTTAGGTTGAGATCATGTTGAAAGTTCCCAAAAATTTGTATTTTTAGTAATACTTTTTTGGGCCTATTTCTAATTCCCCGCATTCATATGAATCTCGACTACTCAATTGTCGGAATTAAATGTCCAGTTTTGTGATGTTTTATCCTATGTGTGGAGCGGCATTTTTAGGTTTCTTAAGGATTTCCATTCCATTTGCGGTGAAGAGAAACTTTACAAAATAGATAAGTTTTCAAAGTTTCAGAGAGTCCTTAAGTGAGTCTTAACTCGATCCTTCTTTACGTAAACTATGACTCCTGATAACACGAGCGTTCTCTTCATTTGAAAAGTGTTTATGAAAGCTATCCTTCTGCATCGTTTACAGTTATAGCTAAACGTCCGTGGTGATGCCTGTGACACTTGTAAACCAGGTTCTTTCAATTTACAAGAGGATAATCTCGATGGCTGTACACCATGTTTTTGCAGTGGAGTTTCTGACAGCTGCGAAGGTGCTAAGCTAAACAAAACTCAGGTTAGCAACAAATGCATCCATTGTTATTGAGGAATTGAAGACAAAATCGAATATTAGAGTTTCAGTGGTTTTGAGGGTTGAGGCTTTAATTCTGAAGGAGTCGTAGGAGTGCACAGAACTCCTTTAAACTACAATAATGTGTATTCTATAAAGTAAAAACTATTACAACATATAGCATATACTGAAAAAAACGAAAGGATGTACTTTTACGTTCGTATAGATTATGATGTGACTACTCATTACTGCTATATTGTTGCAGCATCCAATTCGTTAAAACGATTTCCTGCAACGCAACTTAATTGAATCACTGTCGTATTAATACAGTGATAAACGTCCTCTTTTTTTAGATACGTACTACATTCTCTGTGGATGAGCTGAAAAATTTTACTCTGGTCACATCAGACCGTACCCCAGTAAACTCTTCAGATCTCTTTGTTAATCCCCTGACGAAGGAACTGACTTTTCAGTCTTTTGTGGAGGAGGGTATTCAGGGGGAGATTTTATACTGGAAACTGCCTCGAACATACACTGGGAATAAGGTAAGTTAAGAAAGACTTTAAAACGCGGGCGTGAACGAAATTTAAAGTTTTTCTCATATTTCTGTTTACAGCTTACGTCATATGGAGGTTTTTTTAGCTTTGTTGTCTCGCACGAGGCTAGTTCTGATGGAAAAACACTGTACGCGCCAGATATCATCTTAATTGTGAGTACGACCAATAAGTAAAACAGACTAGGCCATCTACCCAGAAATTCATAGCCTCCCAGTCAAAATTATGACTTTGGAATGTCATTAATTTTTTTTTGTTTTTTGTTTTTTGTTTTTTTTGTTTTTTTGTTTTTTTGTTTTTTTATCTAGGGGACAGACATAACACTTCATCACTACAAAAGAAGTCCTACAGGAAACAACCGGGAAGGAGGTTACCAAGTCATGTTTGAAGAGGTTTAAGGCTCAATTCTTTTACTATCTCCTGAAGGTCACTTTAATTTACTTGATACGGAAATAAAAAAAAGGATTTCTGACATTAAATCTCACTCTTTCAGAACTCCTGGACTGACAGCACCAATAGAGAAATATCACGAGACCAAGTTATGAAGGCTTTGCACCATATCGAGGCACTTTTGATCAGAGCTTCTTATACTACTGGGATGCTTCAGACAACGTATGATCAACAAAATACTTTTCTATCCATTAGTTATTCGTTTGTTTTTGCACTAATTGCCCTTTCAAGCCTCTTTAGCAAGTGAAAATTAACAATTTGGCTTAAAAAAGTTCAATTTGCGTTTACTTATGGAAATAACGGTTTTGTGTGAGCTGTTCTTTCGAAAAACATTTCCATTTTCATTAGTTGTTAAATATTTGATCCAAACTTGTAGAAAATTTGGATGGTGGTAGAAACATGCTTCCATGAAACACTTTGTTGTGAATAACACGAGTATCCTTTCCCATTCCTGATTTCCCATCCTCTGAAAGAGCCACCTGTAGAACTTTTAGGAACACAAATCAACTCCAGACCCTAATTTCAATTTGATATCCTGTCTCTTTTCTTGGTTTGTGTATGTGTTCTTTGCTTTCTTTCGCCCCAGCCTTCGGGAAGTTTCCATGGACACTGCAACTAATGCGGTCACTAATCAGCCTCGTGTTAGCTCGGTTGAGCGATGCGCATGTCCAGCAGAGTACCAAGGTTTATCTTGTGAGGTAAGTTCGACTCACCTTGATAACATCCCTTTCAGAAAACTGGTCACACAATCCTTGATGTTTCCTTTGAATTCTCATCAATAGCATATTTGTACACCACGTTAATTTTTTTGTCGTGAAAACGTTACAAATTTGTCTTCCTTTTCAAAAAAGATAAACCCGAAAAAATAATTTAGCATTCAATGATACTCGCACTCCGAGTTCGATGGATAAGTTGCTGCCTTGTTGCAGCCTTGTTACTGTTTTGTCACTAAAAACTGTCTATTCAGTGATAACTATTCTTTCTTACGTTCGCCAGTCTTGTAAAGCAGGTTACTATCGATCACGTGGTGATCCACACTTTGGCGACTGCATTAAGTGTGACTGTAACGGGCACTCTCGCGATGAGTACTGTGATCCTGAAACAGGAGAATGCAAGGTAAGCCAGTCCAATATATCATGTGGCCTCATGATTACCCAGAGGCTGGACATATTACTTTTCTTGATGTTTACTTCAATAGAATTGCCAGCACAACACAGAAGGGTTTCGCTGTGATAAGTGCGTGACTGGTTTCTATGGAAACGCAACAATTGGCCAACCATCAGATTGTAAGCCTTGTCCTTGCCCCATGACATCACCACCAAACAGGTAAGAAGGGTGAAATTAATAGAACTTCTCATGAAACTTGATCCCTTGATAACTTGTGCGCCGTGCTGGCTCGAAACAATTTCGACCTCTCCGAAACTTCCGGCATACATTTACGGAATTACCCACCGAAACTCGAAACTCTCGATAATTCATAAAGGGGGTAAGTCTCTAAAGAAACCGTGGTGTTGGTGTTGATAATGTAAATTGGCCACCGTAAAAGTTTAATAACTAAACCTTTACGCTAGCCAATTTACATTATCAATTTAGTTGATAAAGCCAAATCATCTCGATAATTCAGTTCATGTTTCTCTTCAGTCATTAAGAAATCCTTTATAACTCGCACCAGGTTTGTCCTTTCGAGTCAAAACAAACAGAATTGTAATCTAAAACATTAAAAGATATTTTTAGCAGCTGTGCATTTTTTCTTTACTTTACATATTGAACATTTTTATTGTCTTTGAATTCTCTTCCAGGTTCAGTCCTACATGTTTCATGGCAGAGGATGGAGAACCGACCTGCGATGCATGTCCACCAGGATATGGGGGTAGAAACTGCGACAGGTGTGTTAAAGAAGAAAAAAGTTCTTATACTTGCCCTTATATCACTTGTAACTTCTCATGAAGACTCACCTCTCCAAACTCGTGCTAATACTGGATGAAGGTTAAGATTGACATTTTGTTATTGTGTTCAGGATTGAGAAGTATTAGCGAATGTTACTTTATGAATTAATGCAAGTCCACTAACGACGTCACTTGCCTGCGTTTTAACACCGTTGCTTCCCAGCATTCTTCAATCAATTCTGGTCAGTAATGTTCGTGCTCCGTACATAAATTTACTTTCTTCAATGCACAGTGAGCTCTTTTCCAACCATTCCTCGTGTCCAATCTTCGATCCTGTCCATCTCCCGAACAGTGTCTCGTTATCGAGCTAATGAACAGTTGACAGTTAATAAGAAGACATTCATAGTAAACATATTCACATTATTTCAAGGTGCGTTAAACCTTATGTTGGTAATCCAACCGAGCCAGGAGAAAAATGTAACTTAGGTGAGAATTTAACAGATGTTTATTTTTTTTTAAGTTTTCCTATATCAGATAGAATTGTTAAACATGGAATTTTTTAACTAAATGTATATTTTAAGACAAAAAATGGTCAACTGACAAGCTGTTTTACCATCTGCAAAGTTGATGCAACATTAAAACGATTGGTATATTTGCCTCAAACATATTTTTTAAGTATACCACATCATTAGGGATATTCAAGGCTTAAATTTGTTTAATTCCAATAATGACCAGAAAGGCACCCTTATCATACTGAATCAGTGATTGTTATCATTTCAATTAGGAATTCACTCTCACCTTTTTTTTATTTTATTTTGTTTTGCTTTGCTTTTGTTGTTGTTGTTGTTGTTACAAATTTAGAGGTCGACTGTCTATGTGATGTTCGTGGCTCGATCAACAGTTCTTGTGATCCTATTACCTCGCAATGCTTTTGCAAGGTGGGTGATAGAAAAAACAAATCCTATTTAAGGCAACCCGCGTAGTGAGCGGTTTTGTGTGTGTCCCTAAAAACAATGAGCGACCAAGCGGCCAGCGGAAAAATATGCTACCTCTCTTTTCCGTCTCAAGCCTCTCCCGGCTTTGCCCCTTGATCACGGCCACGCCGCTTGACGCTTTAACTGTGGTATACCGAGTCTTGCAAGATATGACCATGTGTTGGGGGAAAAGAATGGGTGTAAGGAACAAAATAAGCCTTACCACTACAGAAAATCAAAACAGGTGTGTTCTTTATTTCGAGACGGACTTCGTTTGGCTGAGTCACGACTTCATGATGTCATAAGGGCACACGCTAGTGCTGAGAAGACGACACGACCCGTTCAACTTCATATTTCACTTTTTAGCAGGATACTGTTACATTTGGCACGCGACTTGCGTCCGAAGTTATAGTGGTCAGTTTAGCAAGTGGTGATATGCTCTGTTGACCTATAATATCGAATAATATTTTTGAAGTGTCTCAATGACGCTCGCGCACTTTTTAATTCAGCGCGTTGTTTTACTGTTCGAGTGTTGTGTCGGGAATTTCACCAAAAAAAAAGAGGTAGTGAAATTTCTAATGAACTCATCTCTTTCCCATTCTATCGGCCCTTTCTTAGCATGTCAGTGTATTTTCAAATTTTTGATTTCTGGTGACACACCTTCTTAAATTGGAATCATTCATGCGGCGTTTAAAACCGTTAGAAGTAATTTTTTCAAGCCTTGTTTCCACTACTACATAAGTAGGGTTTATTACTGCGAGGATCGCTTTCATACATTCCGTTAGAAGGGTGTTAGAAGAATAATTTATATAGACTTTTATTTTAACTAAAAAGTTTCGCGTGCTGAGCATTTGTTACCCACTGCAGACCTCCTAAACCTAACTCCATTTCTCATCTGTAGTATACATTTTTTTTTCTGTTCAATTGAATAGCGCCAAATATAGATTGCTCTTTTCCTTTTCTTTTTCGATCTCCCTGTGTATGGGGCTTTCCGTCCATCTAAAAAGCGTTCTTTTTGTGATTGACGATACGAAGTTTAAAAAATTAATGTAACACGAGCTACCAGTCTTCAAGACGTTTTTTTTCGACCAGATAACCGTGACTCGCTCGTCAAAAGGACTTTCGAGAAATTAGCATTTCGGACAGTGTGTAAAGTTCGTCTCCCATACAGACATCCTTGTTATCGCATCCTTTGCTGTGTGGAGGGTAATTTGCTTCTTCCGTACTTGATAATCTTTGAAAGGTAGATATAGCAGTAAGTAAATAATCTGGGCTCAGTTTTGTTGGTTGAAGTTCAGATTTCTTATGTTACGCTGCAGTTAACTTTCATCCAAGACGTGACCCGAGGAAGTTGTAGACGCAAAAAACGGTATCTCAGGGATCTTTTTAAACCTATTATCGTCATTATGTACCATTAAATGGGTATTTCTTATCCACAGCACAAATGTTTTACGTTTAATTGTATGCCTGTTATTTCTTCCAATTAGTAGTATCGTTTTGTTTATAATAACCGAAGATTTTAGCATTTGAGTTTCCTTTTCAGTATCCTTCATTAAATGTTTTTCGCTATTTAAAAACGCTGTTCTACACAATAGCCTGTAATTTCGTTGACATTCATTTTCGTTCTAGCTAAGTTTTAGATAGCATACCTGGTCTGTAAGAAAAGCAACTCTAAAAGGTAGGCAAATATTGGTTTGTTGTAAGCAAAACAATGCATTGTCTTTCTTTTCAAATTGTCAATTTATAATGTGATCACTTCAGTGAAAGCATGTTAGCTGTGATAAGATCGGATGAGAGCGAAATTCCACAGGAGCAACAAAAGTTGTCGTTCCCATGCATCGAGATATCAACTTCCTGAGAAACCGGACGTTCCCACGATCCTTGATTTGAAAAATGTCTTTTTTCGGCTGGGCCAAAACCTAACTATGTATACAACTTTTCGGGAGTGTAAAACATTGTCTGGATTTTTGAATTCTTCAATCACTCTTTTTCGTGACCGAGGGTTAGGTTAGGAAGGCCATTGATAACCTTTCCATCATTAATTTGATCTAGTAATTGAAAGTTACTCGTCTAAAACTCTTCTCAAGCTGTTCTTAAAAGAAAATTATTTTTGAACGCTGTGGATAATTTGCGTAATGCAAACCAATACGTAAACTTAACGAAAGTTTCTTTCAACTTAGTTTCCTCCTGACTTTGTCTCGTCGGGCGCTTTGTTGTGCAAACGAGGTGCGAAGATGCCGACAACGTAACCAGATCATCACTTATCTTGCGTGCTTTTATCACACAGACAGACCATGGCAAGAGCCAAAGGCTGTCGGATTGAATTTCAATTGACACTTTCCTTAGTTGTCATGCTCATCAACTGTGACGGGATTTGAGAATCTTTCTGTCGATCAAACTATTTCCAGATTGAACTCCTATTTCAAGGAACTGAACTCTCCTAAAGAGCCTCAAAAACGGATTGTAATCTTGAGTGTCATCTAGTCAGCTATCTGTCATAGAGACCGTTTGGGAAATCTTCCGAGGGAAAGCTGCTTATCCATTTAGACATAAAATGAATCACTACTTCTTTCTGATTACTGCTGCTTTCCTGCTTTCTCTGGTTTGGATTTCGCCCATTTCATCCAGGGTAAGCTAAGCCACTTATTGATAGATTAGCCCTCCTAAACCTAAAGTCATGTTTCTGAAACAACTAATGGTACGGCCGGAAAAGGTTGTATACCAGATACTAGTGAATTCGCGAATTAAAGGGCATCTACAGCTGCTCCATATTACACTCTCAAAGAGTGTTACGACTGCATGATGTTTTATGTAACGTAAGTAAGGTTTTTCCTCTTACACCATTTGAGGAGCTGTTCTTACAGAAGCAGAAATTAAAGATTAAGCTTTTAATTAAAACCCGTACATGCCCACCCAGACAGAGGTGATTTCTCGAACAGATGGGATAATTTTCAGATCCATCGTTTAGTTTTTTTCCAAACTAGGGAAAGCTTCGTTGTGCTCATGTCTCCAGTTGAGTTTTAAACTAACTCCGTGAAATTGAATGGTTGTAATTTTTTATTGGTGAAGTATGCGTGCTCCATTGAGAGTGACCTTTCACCTGCTTGGTTCTGTCAGTTTAATGAAATGAATGGAAGAAAACTCAGACTTTTTGCTGTCATATATTTATGTTGTAACATTAACCATCACTTCCTCTTTGCTATGGCATTATTCCATTTTCCCTGTACCTTATGGTTCCTTCATGGATCTCTTCCTCCCTGTTTTATGTAAATGGTTTTATACACGCACTTTTTCCTATCTTCTTTTCACATTTGATCAATCTTTGATTTCGCAAGGACCTTGAGCTAATGCCCAATGATTGCCATTTAGCAGAGGCCAAAATAAACCTAGTATTGTGACATAAGCTTATCTTACCACCCGACAGGGCCGACATGTTGTTTGATAGGAAGTGCTCGTGCATTATTATCGTTTACAATGTTGAGTGCCTTCTGACAAGTGACAGATTAATGTAATAGTTTAGTTGACGACACTTCGCTGTTCCCGGTGAAATAGTACGCTGGGACTAAAAAACAAGATCAACAATAATTACGAGAAGCTCTAATCTATTTATAGCAACGTTTGCTGGAGGTAACGTTGGCTGGGGGCAAGATATACCCTATAAAATATTTGGTGGATATTTACAGGGGCCGATATCTCTCTTTCGTTAGAAATTGGATACGAATCAAATATCAATTTTCCGAAGCAAAAGCAAAGCCAGCAGCACCAACTTTCTTCATATTAGAGCCCAAAGCCCAAAGGTTTCTCTTTGAAACAAAAAAAAAATAATCCCCTTGGCTCCATCTTCTTAAAATGATGTTTAATAATAGGATGAAAATATGCTGATGCTGTGAGATCTTTAAAACGAAAGATGACTCCACTTGGCGTCAAAGGATGATTTTTTAGAGCCAAGAGCTAATTGATGACTCGTAATAGGTCATAGTACAGTGTCAAGTACAGCCGGAGTCCAATGAGTAGAGAGAGGCGACTATTTTATGTTACAAGATCGATAACTATTTGGCTTTTACCTGCACAGATATACTGATTCTTAGATAGAGATGTTTCTTTAGTTTCTCGTCAAGGAACAAGGAGCAAGACTGGAACAATATCCTACAAATGAATCAGTCGATTCATGTAAATGTAACAATTTCAGTGCAGAGCCCGAAATATCACGCAATTTATTGTCACTCGATCTCGCTCAAACAACTATTAAGGTGATTCCCACGAATGGCCCTTTCGGCTACAGCTACTTTCGTAGCCCTCAAGTGGATCAATCACTTGATGACAACGTCCAACTTGACCTCTAAGACAGGTTGATTTTGGGATCCTCTTGAATTTTAAAGCAACTACAAACCAATGATTTTTTGATATGTCAAATGGCTCCTTCATTCTATCAGAAAGAAAAAAAATCGTCGAAAAACATCGTAAAATTTACACTGAGACTGGGGTCTCCTTCATGAAGGATTTTTTTCTAGATCAAAGAAATGAACTTTCCACTTTCATCAAGTTATTTTCACGGTTTCTGAACAGCGTAGTCAACATACAACGCATTGAAAACAGCTAAAATTCCATCAACGCCGGAAATAGCGCAATAACCTGACTTATGTTGGATTGCATAACCAACAAAAATATCGCCATGTTTGCAGAAAGGTTGGTTAGAATTAATATCTAGCAAAATGCATTGCAACTCTTTCATATTGCCAGTCTCTGTTGTACTCATGCAATTATTGCTCGCCTCTTGTCTCCACAGAAGCATGTTGAAGGAAGTAAGTGCGACAGGTGTAAGCGATCCTTCTTCAATTTGCAGTCGGACGATCCCGAGGGATGCGTGCCTTGCTTCTGTTTTGGAGTCTCTGCTGTTTGTAAATGCGCTGATTATTACAAAGACATAGTAAGTAAATCATGACTGCTATAGTATTATTAACCGTACCCAATTCGCAATTAGCCAATCAAAAGCTGGAGATGAAAAATAATTTTCAGGTCAAAGGCTTCGCACACTCTGTCGCTATAAAGAGGCATACAGCATTTCGGAAATAGCCTATTGTTTTCAGTCTTTTAAAAAGCTTGAGCATGAGAGTAATCTTCGCAGTAAAGAACACTACTTAAGCAGAAGTAAAAATAAAGCCTGGAAAAAATTCAGGCTCGAACGGGAGTTGAACCCATAACCTTTGCGTCGATACCGGAGCATAAAAAAAATTGGCTTCTAAACTTGATTTTCACCGATCATTTGAGGTCTATTTGATAATTCCTTTAGGAGACCGCTGAAGTAAATTCCCTTTTGCAAAAGAGTTGAGAATTGGGTTCTTTGAAACTTTCTCCAGGTTCTCTCTCTCAAGGCGACCTGTTTTATACCAAAGGAAGAAACGATTCGGATGCGATTTAAAAAAAGCTTAGCAATGGCGGAATCTTGATGGAAAATTCTTCCAGAAAACATTTTTTCTCGTACCTTGCTATACTACGCAAAATGTCCTTAGTTCCTGCAACTTGGTAATCTCTTAATTACACTTCAAATTTATATTTCAGATTGGCTTGCGCATCGCCCTGTTGGACGGTCCAAACTACTTACGTCTCTCGGACTTATCACAGGACTCTATTATAAATTCTGGCTACAAAATAGAGGATGATCCGGGACATTATGTTTATAAGTTTGACAAACCACCGGCAAAGACCTATTACTGGTTTTTGGGAGAGGAATTTAGAGGGGACATGGTGAGTTCACTCTGTAGCTTTCCAACCTCGACTAGTCGATTCCTTTTGCCGTTGACTTGTTGGCGACGGAGGCGAGTCACCTTTCAAAACGTCTTAAACTCCTGTTGTTCGTGTTCACTTGATAACGTGGTATAGGCACTGCTAACTACGGCCTTCAGTAGGAGCTCTGAAAGCTCCACCATCTATTTTTGTTTTCCGCAGAGGGAACTCCGACCGTAAACATCCCTTTCCCGCTTCATATGATAACGTTTCTACTCGTAAAGATCAAAGGTAAATTGACTGATCTCTTTTGATTTGTTTAGATCACAAGCTATGACGGTATCTTACGATACACAGTTTCTCACGAAATGCAGCCCGGTGGTGAGCTGACCTCTGAAATTGACGTCCAGTTGAAGGTATTATTTGAATTTTAACTCACCAATAAGTGGTGCTGTCGTTCGTAAATTCACGGTGCATGCTCTTGATTCTTGAATGCTCTGTAATGTTAATCAAACGTTTTTAGTCCAATCTTCATTCTTGGTCTCGTTTTGTTTGTCGGTCTAGTTTCGAAAATTATTGTGCTGGAGGTATCAGTTCCAAGTTTTGCGCTTTTCAGACAAATCTGGTTTCCGTTGCCACTAGTGTAATTTCGTGTTTTGCGCAGAAACGCCAAACGTTCACAGCTACAATTATTATCAATTTTCTTTCTTTTTAAAGCGAATAGATTATTGCGGCTGTGTGAAAAGTTGCGCTTCTCGTCGGTGTATTGCGCTCAAACGCTGTTTTTTCCAATAGAAAAAAAAAAAAAAAAAAAAAAAAACAGGAAAGAGCAGAAGAACTCGCTTCCAATCAAAAACGCATAATGCAGATTGCCTTGGCTAAGAAAATGGAATTATTTCTAAAATGGGTCGCACACCTGCAACTCGGTAAAAGAACCAGAGAAGCGTACCCGCTAATTTTAAGTTAACAGTAACGCTTCTTTTTCGATTTACATCTGAATTTGTTTCGATGGTGTGTATGGCGAATTTTTTTTTTAGGGAAGAGGGAGAGTTCTAATATTTAATCGTAGAAGAAAACGAGAGGCAGGAAAAACATTTACAGAGGGCCTTAAACTATCAGAGGTGAGGAGTTAACCAAATAGTCCATGCAACGTTACAGACCTATTACATGTTCCAAGCAAGCAATCCATTTTTCGACATCGAAGGCAATCTGTTGACTACAGGTATATCCGAACGAATAATCTTGTCAGTTGCTCTGATTCATGGTGTTAGTCATCAATTGAAGGTATTTAAAGTTAAAGATAACATTTTTTGTCAGGAGGAAGGAACATAACAACTACGTACAAGCTAGTCTCTTTTCTGTAAAAGTCAAAATATCTTGTTCAATCATACAGGGTTGGCTGAGGTACCCGGATAACGCTAGAACGACCAGAGATGTTGTGATGACAGTTTTGTCCGCTGTGGAAAGCATCTTGGTCCGTGCGACATACAGTACAACTACTACACAAGCCAGGTCACAATTTAGTTACTTTAACTGTAACATATCTCTTTTTACTCTACTGTAACATGTTCACTCATAATTTTACACCCTCTAATCAGTGAAATACTTCATATTCCATATATTATTTACACTAATATTTACTGCAAGAACAAAATAACTTACGCAACTAAGATTACACGCAACGCTATAAAAAGGTTCTCGAGTTCCCTGTGTTACCTTTTTTTTACCTGTAGGTAGCCTTGCGTTCACGATGTGAATCAGATCAATAACGTTATTTTTATTTTTCACCAGCCTTTATGCAGTCAATTTGGAGAAAGCTGTACCTCAAGAAACGGGTCATAGAAAAGCTGAGAAAATCGAACTATGCACATGTCCACCGGAGTACACTGGAACATCTTGTCAGGTAATCTTAGAAGCTCACAATAGAAAATAGTTATGTGAAGCGTTAGAGAATTCTAGCATTCGTTTATTTCGTTGTTTCAAATCTCGAAGACGCACCTTTGTTCGTTTGAACTTCTTTCTACTTAAGAAAAATGAGATTCGATGCTCGACTTTTCGAACTTATAAAGAATTTTTTTCACTCAGTGAAAGTTGATAAGCAAGCTTTTATTTTGGAATATGTGTAGAGGTCCATTCATATGCAATGACAAATTAAAAAATCTGAGCAATGTCTTGCTTAGACGTTACGCAAATCCTTCTGTACGAAGTGCGGTCATAAGACCATGTCAGTTTTGGTATCATTTTATTTTGCAGCGCTGTGCTCGTGGATACACTCGGACTTACCCTGCAGGCTCAGATTTCTCCCCTTGTGTTCCATGTACTTGTAATCAACACTCAAAAGAATGTGATCCAGAGACAGGAAAATGTTTAGTAAGTAAATACCACTTAAGCGGTAGTAATTGCGAGGAACTGCATTAAATTGCCGGTACCCATTTAAACACCTGGGTGGAGAGAGAGGCAGTGTGAGAGTAAAGTGTCTTGCCTAAGAACAAAACACAGTGTTCCGGCCGGGTCTCGAACCCGGACCACTCGATCCGGAGTCGAACGCACCAACTATGAGGCCACCGCGCCTCTGCTGAGGGTAACTCTGCGAGGGACTGGCATCACATCCAGGGGGAGTATAAATACTCCTAGTCTCTTCATGCTACAGAAACCGGAGTTAAGCACCGGCCTGATGGGCCACTACGCTCGTAAACAGACTTTACCAATTGCGAGGAACTGCAATGCCTCAAATGTAGTCCGATACACTGATGCATATCCCAATATGCATCAACAGATTGGGAGCAGGTTAATTCTTACAAATGCAAAGGCTATATACTTTTTCATTAGAATCTGTCCAAAGACAGTTACTCGGCACGTTATGAACTAAGTAGGCTTCTAAACCCTCGGGGTCGGTTATTGAAACAAAGTTTAGCTGTTGTTTGACAAAACCTCGTCCTAGGGAATCCTCAATTTCGCTGAACCTTTGATTGGAACGTTTTTTTGGGTGTTAAGAGGGCTGAAAGCTAATACTAATAGTAGAAGGACTTTTATCTAATCTAATCATCCCTCTTCTAGACAAAGCCTGAGGTCCACTGATTCCGTAAAATCGCGGTTTGGGTTAGACCTCGTGTAAATAACCGGTCCTAAGTACTTTCAATTGCTCCTCGATCGTCTCGGCCGTCATTTCTCATTTAATGAAATGAATGAAATCTTTATTTAAAACATGGTAAAAATATCAGTATGACAATAGAAAACAAAGAAGAAATTCATCTTAAGTAAAATTTTCTATTAACTGGTTTACATATTTGCCGTGCGGGAGCCCAATACAGAGAGCCATTTATCAATTCTTCTCTTGAAGATGCGTAGAGATTTTGTAGTGCGAATATGCTCAGGAAGATCGTTCCAATGAGAAGCTCCGCTATAACTGAAGCTACGTTTCAGGAAGTCAGTTCTTGGTCTCGGCAAGTGCAACCTTTGGCTTGCGCCATGAAGATCAAAGGACAAGGTTCTCGGGGTGAACATGTTACAAAGATAATTTGGGGCGAGCTTATTAACGCATTTATACATTAAATTTGCCGTTTGCTTCGTCCTTCTTATTGAGAAGTTATCCCAGCGGAGAGAATAGAGAAGATAGCTGGAGTTCGTATTATAACTTGACTTAGTAATTACTCTGGCAGCGCGATTTTATAGTTTTTGTAGTTTCTTACTCAGCTGTTGAGACAGGCCATCCCAAACAACACTACAGTAATCAAAATGGGGTTCGATAAGACCTTTGTATATTTTGATAGCGGTGTGCATTAAAACGAAAGGTCTAATTCGCTTCAGTGCACCGATACTGGAAGAGACTTTTTTTGAGATTGCGTGTATGTGCTCCATCCAGGATAGGTTTTCATCTTTTATGATAGATAACTATTAGAGATAGTTTTTCGAGGTGGGACATTCTATATCTAAATATTCGCTTTTTTGTCAGAAATGTGATCACAATACCGCAGGCTCCAGGTGCGGGAGATGTGCAATCGGTTTCTATGGCGACGCGACTAAAGGCACACCTCAAGATTGCCAACCATGTCCATGCCCTTTAACAGTCGCTTCGAATCAGTGAGTAAAGAAGTGGATTAAAAAAATTGGTGCCGGTTACAAGCTTTCTCCATCAATAATTTCCTCTCTTAAACAGGTTCAGCCTGACCTGCAAAATAGAGTCAGACGGTCTACCTACCTGCACTGGGTGTCAAACTGGTTATACAGGCAGAACATGTAATAGGTAAAGTCGTCTTAGTTAAAACTATGAAGTTTGTAAATACGAAATGTATAATTTTGCTGATAATTTTCTTGTGATGTTCGCCTATCAGATCACTTTTTTAGATCGTTTGGCGATCGTTGTAATGTCAAATTTATCCTGTTTAGATGTGCTAAGGGATATTCCGGGGATCCTAAAAAACCTGGCCGAAAGTGTATCAAGCTACCAGGTAAGATAACTGGTCATTTAGATAGAATCTAGTGTTCGGTTGTTGGAATGCTACTAATGAGAACATTGTGCACACGAATACAATGAACTGAATGTTGTCATTTCCTGGTTAAAAAATAAATAACCGAAACTCGTAAATAGGCGAGAAAATCCTTTTACAACCATTTGGTTTTCTATGAAGTTGACCATGCACAGATCCTTTGCTATATTCAGTAAAACCGCTCACTTCCATGATAACCAGGGTTAAGGTAAAGGTATCTGAGTGGTAATCTCTGCTCAGAGTCTGATTACAAATTAGTATGCCTATCGAAAAACAATAACATGTGTCTCGCAAAAAAAAAGCCTTTTATGTTCTCTGTCAGTAACTTTGTATTGCTTGCTTCCGTAGTAACGAGATGGGTATTCCTCGAAATATGGTTTTAGATTAATATCTTAACAAAGAACACTAAAAAATATCCCTTATACCAAAAAATTGACAGTTTGCTGTGTCATTCTTTTTTTTTAAGCGGGATTCTTACCAATTGTTATGATCAGGCCAATGAAAAGAACCAAGACAGAGGGAGATGACGTTAGGTTTTACTGCTTTGCCAAGGGAAAGCAACAACCAAGAATAAGTTGGTCTCGAGAAAATGGCAAAACGTTACCCAGCAGGGCTGTTGTGTCTGGAAAAATCATGTCGATAAGTAGAATAAGGAAAGAAGATGAAGGAGAATACGCGTGTACTGCGAGAAACATATATGGCTCTGAAACTGGTACAACACAGCTGAGGGTAGAAGGTTAGATGCACAAATTATTTTTAGCTCGATTTTATTTACGTGTTCAACCTTTTCAGTCACAACCCCTTATATAGTGTTATTAAAGTGGCTTCTTGTTTTTTATCAAAATGTAGTTAAGGTGATTTTTACACAGGTCTTTTATCGTTATCTGTTAAAGTCTTCCATAACCATTAGATAGATGATCGTTTTCCTAAATATTTGGAAGGATGGTTTTGATTGCCTTTCTCTTTACCTCCTATATCGTGTTCTGGAATTAGCTCGCCGTGTGGATCCCATAAGCGTAACAGTTTCGCCAAAAGTCCTTCACGTTCTTTTGGACCAAAAAGCTCAGTTCAAGTGCAGAGCAAAAAGTGTGACCGAATACACCTTACAGTGGACCCAAGGAGTGTACGGAGCACTTCCTGATGGGGCCGAAAATGATAATGGTGTTCTAACGATCGATCGCGCGCGGGCCATCCATGGAGGGTCCTACACATGTACCGGTAAAAATGCCAACAACGAAGATATGGTAACCGTCCAACTGAGAATAGGAGGTAAGAATGATTCATACCTAGTTGCATAGCTTCGGACATATTATAGTCTATATTAACCTATTTCTTTTTTCCTTGTCAGTAACAAAGCCTCAGGTCCTTATAAGCCCTGCCAGTTTGAGCGTGCAAGAGGGAGATTCTGCTCAATTCCGCTGTTCGGCGTCGGGATTTCCAGCTCCGGAACTTCAGTGGCATGGTGGTCCTGGCGGTGAATTGCCATCGGAAGCGAATACAGCCAACAGTAATGGGCTTTTGATCTTTGACGCGGTGAAAAAAATTCACAAAGGAGAATACTTTTGTACAGCATCTAATTTGGGCGGAATCTCCAGCACTGGAACGTTCTTAAATGTCTCAGGTACGACGGTATTTTAAACTAAATGAAATTTTCATGGTCACTCTCTCCCTGTGACAGCATGCTTTCATTTTCACCTGTTTTCGTAGCTTCTGGTTCTCCCCCTATAATTTCGGTTGTGCCCAGTTTGATGACCGTTTTGGAAGGTGAAGAAGCCTCGTTTCAGTGTACGGCAATAGGGGACCCACCACCCACAATTCGATGGTCACGTGAGAAGGGCCAGCTTTCTCCGTCCTCTACTTCTTTAAATGGTGTTTTGAGCATTTTCCCGACAAAAGTTGAAGACGGCGGTGCATATGTTTGTACAGCAGCTAATAAAATCGGAGTGGATGGGGGTTTGGTCACTCTCACTGTCGAAAGAGGTAAGTGAACACCATTGAACAAAATCTTTTCTGTGTCCTTTTGGAAAAGCGGTAAATACGCGAGTTAGACGGAGACATACGAAGGCATGTTGCAAAAGGTAGTAAAAAATTGAGTCCTAGACAATTCCTTAGATAAACCCAGAATATTAAGTCAAATATCACAAGTGCGCGTCGAAAATAGGCACTAGGGAGTCAAAATTAAAATAAAAATATTTTTCCTAATAATTTTGAATGGCGTGTTGACCCTTGACAGTCCGCCCTCGACGTTTTAATGTCGACCCTTGAATCTTGACAAAAAGGCAAAATAATCATAAACGACCTTTTAATTAAGACATCTGTTTCTCAACGTGCCCTTTAACACATGTTTTTTCATTCATCATCTCCCGTTTCAAAGCGGATTAGCTGTGCAGCTGTTTGCCCTCTTGTCTCTTTCACTCAGCATAAACAGGAAAAAGGAAACGACTGCAAGCAGGATGATTGAATATGAGTCGTGTGTGCACAGTTGCACGTAGTAAAAAGCATGGCATCGGTATGCTTCAGCATCTTTATCGTAAATGGAGCGCTTGTGTCGCTGAAAACTGCTATAAGAAAACAAAGTTTTTCTGTGATATTCAATTTTTCGGACCTAGTCGTTTGAGTAATGGGTCGGAAATATAATCCCACGATTTTAATACTAGGTTTGGGGAGACCTGCTTTAGACTTTTTCAGATATGTTTTGAGTATTCTCGTTACCTGTTTGCTGTATAATGTCTGGATATTATAAGGACAAGTTACATGTCAATCACTTCTGGGAATTAAAAGGTTAAAGAAAAGCTTAAACATTTTCAAGGTAATGTGAAACAATAATTCTTGTTTTTAGGAGACTGATTATTAACTAATTTTTGTTCCTTTGAACGAGATTAAGGGGAAAAGGATTATAATAAAAATGTTAGCAACAAAAGGATACTAATTGGAAAAGGAAAAATAAATAATATCGGCTCATTCAGGACATAGTTAGTCTAAAATGTTCCTTATCTTCAGATACCTCCGTGCCTCCAACTGCGTTGGTGTCACCAGCAAATCAAACTGTCGATGAAGGTTCTTCTACCAGCTTATCGTGCCAAGTGACAGGAGATCCTTATCCCTCCATAGAATGGAGGAAGGTTGGTGGCGAGTTACCAAACAACCACTCTATTCTCGGTGGATTATTGGTAATCCAGGAAATAACGAAAGAGGATGAAGGCATGTATCTATGCTTAGCTCAAAACAAAAAAGGTGTCAAACAAGTTACCGCCTTTATCAATGTCAGAAGTAAGTAAATAATTCAATCTTAAGTTAAGAGTTATGACCAACCAAACATTGTTTGATATTAATGATGGGATAACAACGAGCTTTACTTTTGTTTCGCAATCGTGAAAGGAAGGTCGTCATGTAAGGGGACCTCTCATATTTTTTCTTTACCGGTGCAATTTGACCAGACATTACTTAAATTACATTACAAGTGATTAAGCATTTTTCTAATGTGGTTCGCTCAGAAAATTTCTCTATCGGTGATACTACAACTCTCTTGATGGAATACATTGTCTGTTTTTCACAAACATATCTCGACAGCGCGTTTTGTTTCTGAAACAACCGATTAAGTTGCAGCAATGATGGTATGTCATACGTACCCTTTCAGGTAAAGTGTCGCCAAAGATAGAAATCATGCCGGCGAGAAGGTTAACCGTCACTGGAGGGGAAACAGTCATTTTCAAGTGTGTAGTCAAAGCCGGTAATCCTCCTCCTGTGGTGGTTTGGGAAACAGAAGAGAGTCAACTATTGAATAGTAGCGATGATGGGGCGTTGGTGATCTCCCCAGCAAACGGTAACAGCCAGGGAAAGTACATTTGCAAGGCAACAAACGCCATGGGATCTGCTGAGGCTGTTGCTCTGCTGATTGTTCAAGGTGATCAACATAACTGCGGGTCATTAGTACCCTCCCAGTAACATAAGTTGCAATGCAATCTCGCGTGATTAGAGAGATTTGGTTGCAACTGGATACTTTTCACATTGCGTGGATGTGATATGTCGCCCCCATTAAAACATGAAATTATTGACAATGAGTTTCTCACTTCCAGGTGAACCCAATATCATTACGACTCCTTCCAGTCCTGTTTCGGTGACAACTGGTAGTACAGTCACCCTGGAATGCGTCGCCGCTGGAGATCCCCCTCCGTCTGTTGAGTGGATAAGTCCAGAGAGCTCTCAATCTAATATTCAAATAATAGAAACAAGGGTGGGTGTATTAAAACTGACCATCGAAGATGTGAGATTGGAAGACCAGGGAAACTATACCTGCCAGGCGACAAACATCGTGGGAATCAAAAGAGAAAGTGTCCAGTTGCTAGGTAAATATCTAACGTAGATGGGGACGGTTTACCAGTTACATGCTAGATATCTTTAATAGGCTCTTTCCTACAACACCCAAAAATTTCCAAACTACGTTTTTGTTTAGTTACTGTGGCCAACGAAGCTCCAGAGGTTGTTGTGGAAGCTATTTCTGAAATTGTGATCGAGGGTGACAAGGTTGTGCTCCGCTGTAACGCGTCTGGTGTACCAACACCAAGTATCACTTGGGAAAGAGTGGGCTCTGATTTACCCAGTGATGCTTTGGATAGAAATGGAAATCTAACCATCCCATCTGTTGGCGCACGTGACGCAGGAACATACGCGTGTAAAGCTGCGAATAGTGAAGGAGTAGACGTCGCGAATGTTCAGTTGGAAGTGATAGGTAAGAAGATTCCATTCAACCCTAAAGAAAAAAAAAAACATCCAGCCGATTTAAAGGGATATTTGTTTAAAATGTTTTTGATTTTAAGTATCTCTCATTAAATGAGACAAATGTTTGGTTGGGCACTCAAGGCTACTCTATCCCCATCGATAGTTTCATCTCCTTTATCGTCTAAAGGACAAAGCTCAGACAGCTTCCTGAACACACGGTTTTGCGAGAATACACAACAGACACGAAAGGACGCAAATTAGTTCAAGATTTGCCGTTTCAAAAGTCAAACCCAAGTTCGAATCCCAGCTATTTCGCCAGGACTCGAAGGTTACTCCTTTTGTTGTGTTACAAACCTAGTACTACCTTTTCTTTTCGATCGATTGTAGTCCCTCCTCAAGTAGAAGTGACACCTTCCCAGATAGCCGTGAATCAAGGAACTTCTCTAAGCCTTTTTTGTGTTGCCACACCATTACTTCCGGTCAAATGGTCGAAAATGAATGGAAGCATCCCTGGCGAAAGTGAAACAGACAAGGGAAAACTAATCGTTAAGAATGTGAGTGTGGAACACGCAGGGAAGTACCGTTGTCAAGCTACCAATGCTGCAGGCTTCAGTGAAGATTTTGCAAGCGTAACGGTATTTGGTAAGACACCATTACAGTTCTCTCTTTTAGGAAAATTGCTTCATGTTTATGGTTTTCTACGCCAAATATCTATCTCGATGTCCAGGGAGAGATAATGGATGGATTAGTGGAGAAGAAATAATCTTCCGTTGATTTTCTGATACAGGAGAGAAATCGGAAGAGTTATGATAAATTTCCTTTTTTCTACAAGTACAAGTGGATTTAAGAAGCAACATCGCAAAGATTCGTTTTTCCTTCGGAAATGGGTAGAAAAGGTGATGTTGAAACGTCCGGATACGGCATTTAATCTGTGTTTTTTGGGCCCCTGGATATCCCTTTAAGCCCAAAACTCTGGCAAACTGGTAAAGGAGTGAAGTATAAAGTTGGCAGAAAGTTTTCCATTGAGTTCGCTTCATCGGTGGTTGCACAGTGTAACGGCGTCCGGGAAGTTTACAACAGTATGGTCACTATGGGTTTTTCATTATCAAATTTCTGAAAAAGGGTTTAAGGTGATTCCTCAGTAAAAAGAAATGATCGAACAATTTTTCTTTCTGTGAAATGTTCAATGTCTGTTTGAAAATTCAACTGAAAAGATAGGTCACCGTGTTGTTTAAGAGATACGGTGAGCCAAACTTACCCAATTTATGCCTGTGCTGGCACTTATCACGCGCGTCTTTTCATCGGGTCACGGTTAATGTTTTGGCTCCTGAAAGCAAAGGTTTTTGAATTGACACTTGAAAAAAAAATTGATAGGTAGAAGGCATATGGAACAATTTCATATATAATTTGTGGAAAAATCACGCAATTTTAAATGACATTGACTCAAAACGTTCTTTGAGTCGTTGCATTCGAGGTCACAATTTGCATCATCGAGTAGCGGGCTTCGTGCACGCTTAAGTTATATCTTTTTTTCCATTCGATGAATTTTTTAAAATTTCTCCTATATTTAAACGGAATAATTTGTACACTAAAACTATGTAATAAAAAAAATTCGCCATGCTCGTTCTGGAGCTTAACACCATCGTTCTTGTTTACCTGGTTCATTTATTGAAAAGCAATAACGTGTTATCGGAATGCGTGCGTGCTTGTTCGCCTGGTTATGTGATTTTTATGCGCAGTACTGGCAGGGTGCGCAGTGCAATACTGAGGAATCACCTTTAAAGTGGAAAACTTAAAACAGAATAAATTCAAATCCATTTCATCACCGAGTGCGAGATTTATACTTTTTGCTTGGCCTTTTTACATTCCTCTTAGTTGCACCACAAGTAAGTGTCTCGACTGAGTCCATGATAGCCTCACCTTTTTCCAATGTTACTTTTCGATGCAATGCAACTGGCATACCAGAACCTGTGATCACGTGGACAAAAGAAGGCGTGAGGCTTCCTACGAAACACTCGCTGTTGCGTAATGAGTTGACGCTGACGCGCATTGTTAGCTCAGATGAAGGGCGCTATATTTGCACAGCTACCAATGCGGCAGGGACTTCACAAAGAGCTGTATCTCTCACAGTTGAAGGTTTGTACGTGTCATTTTGTGTGACAAAGATGCACCATTTTCGCGAGAAAATGGTAAAAAAAAGCTATGTTAAACGCATAGTTGAATGTCTTGAAGTGCCACTACGACGAAAATTTTTGTCTCTGGTTTTGACATTTTTTTAGCGCCAATCAAGTTACTATGGCTAGAATTGTACTATGCGATAGTTTTTAGGTCTATGGAAGTGAAATACGCCTTGATATAGCTAGCCGAAATTCACGAAAAACCCGTCCGCCATTACTCAGCTCGCAACCGAGCGGTTTTACGCATGAGTTGGCCTGTGACGTCAAATGCGCACTTTCGCATCGTGCTTCGTGTGTTGTGAGAGATTCCACAGTGGAAATTCTAGGCGTTTCATAAGATGTGTTCTTCCTCGAATTCTTCTTCCAGTTCATCTGAAAGTGAAGGCGAAGAATCTTTTAACAAAGTATCTTTCGAATGTGGCAGTGTTGTTCCGTATGACGAGGATCTAGAGCCATTAGCCACCAAAGAAGAAGCTGCAGAACAAGAAGCAAGAATGGCCTAAGAAGCCGAAGTTGAGCGCGAATACCGAGCGAGATTAACTCGTCAAGTGGATGTTTCTCCATGGTGCGATAAGAAATTTTCCTATGATAACGTTTATTTTTTCATAATCTCATTGACTATCTGTCAAGCAAAAGGTATGAAGAAATCAACAGATGAAAACCTATTAAATCAACTGAAATACGAGTGGAAATTCTTTTTTTCTTAAGAGAGTTCATGCTCAAGAAGCCTCGTCCACATATGCACATTGAAAAAAATTACAATTTCAAATAAAAACATTCTGTGCAGATCAATTAGAAGTTTGAGCGATATACTGAGAGACCATTAGGACCATTAGATTAAGAATCTTGAAAAAATATCACTAGTAGTTACATGGCAATGCTGTGTGAAACATTTTCGAAAGCGAATTATGAATATTATGAATGATACAGAGGTTTAATTGCTAAGAAAATTAGACACAAGCAGCAGTTCTAAGAAACAATTACCCATTCACTCAAAGAATGTCCATTAAAATAGAGAAATTATCGTAGTTCAGCAGTAAACTCGTGAAATAGTTGTTTGCTAGCTGGTAATTTTTCACTACTGGATCTTAGGTATTGGCTGGTCTTTTGCTTTCCCTGCAAGACTGAGACTTAATTTTCCGCTTAAAGACTGTAATTCTCAACCTTAAACTACTACAGAAAAAAAAAATAAAAAATAAAAAATAAGCGAAGAAAAACACCAAGACCGCTAAACTTTAGGATTAACACAACGAAAATGTGAGACCTGTGAAATTTACATTCGCTACCTCGAAAGTGCTGAAAGTTTGTTGTGGATCAGTGAAATATCAGTAAATGAAGATCAGCGTTAATGAAATACAACGCACTCAAACTTTCATGGAATTTGTTTCAATTGTTGTCAAACGAATTAAAGAGAGGGTGTTTGTTATTCGAGAAAAACACCATAAAAGTGACAGTCCTGTACTCGTATTGTGCGCGAACAAGAAATCCACGAATATAACTCACCCGACGACGAGTTCTTTCGCTAAGGGAAACAGATCCTTTTTTCCAAATACTTGGGACGGATCCCGGCTTTAGTCGTCTCTCTGTCCTTTTTATATGTACCGAACGAGTGAAGCAGTCGTCGGTAAAGTGAAGTGAGCAAATGCCAAATGTCCCATTGGGCTTAAAATGCTCTCTATGCTGGCTGACGAATCTTTTCCACGTGGCACGCTCGGTTCCTGTACCAGGAGAGGTATGAACAGATATTCCTAACTTTTTGTCGGCCACCCTGTCGCAATCTTGCACGACACATCACCTTGGAGGCATTCTGCTCGCAAATTATGCGTTGCAAATACCTCTCACTTCTCAGAAATGGCATACAAAATTAGCCACGTTGGTTTGTCGAGCCGCGCATATGACGTCATTTCCGAAAGGCTCCAACTAGTGCCAACTCTTTTGGCCACACTCGGCAATTTTTTAATTGAGCAATGGCGGGCGACCAAAACCGAAAAACAAGGTTGAAATGATTATACTTCCCGTGCGAATTTTGCGATTAAACTTGGCATGGTAAGTGTTTCTTACTTCTAGTTTCCAGAAGTAGAAAGAAAAGGCAATGCGAAATTTTGATCATAGTGGCACTTTAAGTTATAAAATGTCGGTTATATAATAATTACTTATTACCATCGAATTTTCTTTTTAAATTTATATTTGAATTTGTACATACATATGTCTTGTAAATGACCGGGAGGGACTTTCATTTCTTATACTTGTATTTTTATAATAACTCTAGATAGGTGTTCCCAATTTGTTTCTGTAATAAAGCAAGAACATAAGACACGTTATTATAACTTTTTTATTAGCTTTTTTGTTAGCTTCTTTAAACGACGGCTGCCTCAGGCGTTTGTTTTCATCTTTTGTAACACATTCAATCTGAAAGACCGCAGTGGCACTTATATGAATTCTAAACCTCAAGTTTATTTACAGATTTTCCCACTGGGATCATATCGGGTGGATCCTCTGTGACAATTGTGCCTGTTGGTGGCTCCCTGACTCTCGAGTGTCTAGGAACGGGAATCCCAACACCTGAGATCATGTGGTCTCGTGTTGGTGGTCCTTTGCCCGGTGGAATAACTATAGATGGTGGTCTTCTCGAGATTGTAAACGCCCAACTTTACCATGGAGGACCTTACGTTTGTAATATCACCAACCGAGTGGGCTCTGTACGATCCCAGATTGTCGTTTTAGTTCAAGGTTCGTGTTTTTTATGAAACATATCGCGCCATTAATACGTAGCAATATAAGTGGTAGCGAAAATAATATCATCCATCTGTTGTTTTTGAGATTTACTCTGTAGTGGTAACAATACCTTCGACTATTCTGGGGATAATGAGCTAAAGATGGACGCTAAAGCGGCCATCAAAATATAGTGATGTCCCAAGGACCTAAAAATGTGCGTTATTACTTCAAAATATTGAGCAAGAATACTAAGGATAACCTAGCCCAGGTGTAAAACATCCATCCCTAGCTGCACATCACATTCGAATTTACTTTTCAGAGGCCCCTAAGGTGACAGTTACGCCACAAAAATCACGGGTGAAGCTTGGGGAGACAACAGAATTTACCTGTATCGCCAGTGGCGCACCTTTACCTAAGCTATCGTGGCGAAAACTGAATGCTTCAGTTCCGGTTCAAGCTACAGTAAGTGATGGAGTACTTAGAATTGCTAATGTGACCCACCAGGATGCTGGGATGTATTTCTGCGATGCTTCAAATGTCGAGGGCTCAGCACAAGGAAGTGCAACTCTTGAGATAAAAGGTATTACGTGATAAAGAGTGATGATGTTTTCGAGTTTCTTGTTTGTTTTACTGATAAAGCAAAAACAGAGTCAATATAAAACTGCGAGGATTCAAGTGAGGTTTTTAAAACGTTCTGGTGAGATGATCGAATACCCAGTACCAGCTGATTGCCTCGTCCCATGATATTTCCACTCATAGTTTGTATTTTTTTTCCGTAGTGACCGTGCCTCGTTTTACTCAGAGACCACTATCATACCTTAGCGTGCCAACTTTGACGAAAGAGCCGCTCAACTTTACCGTGGAGATTGTGTTTTCACCAGAAATGGCAGACGGACTTATATTTTACAATGATCAGTTGACCAACCGTTCTGTAGGAGACTTTGTATCTTTTGGGATGTCCAATGGATTCGCTGAGTTTAGGTTAGTGGCAATTCTTCGGTTCTGTAGCACTTACGATTGAGCGTCGATTAAAACTAAAATGAAAGTAATCGAAACAGTCAAACAGAGGGGAGGTTATTTGACACAAGGAATTGGCAAGAACCTATCTCAAACAAAGAGATACGGTCCCTTAGCCGGAAGCACTATTTTTTACTTCAATAACATACTGCAGTACGGTAATAACAGTTCAATCTCGTATCGCTGAAGAAACAGTGCTGTAAAGACGTTTGACTAGATTTAGCACCCGTTCATACATCTACAGTTTAACTCATTTTTCCTACAAAAGTATTTCTTTCACTGGCAGGTTCAACCTTGGCTTCGAGCCCGCAATCATCAGAAGCCACCAACCTCTGCGTCTGTACGAGTGGCACTCGGTCATTCTGTCACGTGACGAGAAAGAAGGAAATCTGACTGTTGATGGCAAGTCAACGGTGACAGGAATTTCCAAGGGAGGTAGTACAGGACTGAACTTGAACCAAGATTTATATGTTGGAGGAGTCCCTGATTTTTCCTCGATGAGTTCACTGGCAGGCTTCAAGTCTGGGTTTGTTGGCTGTTTAAGCTACCTGGTGGTTGATGGAAACGTTGTGAATCTGGGTGAGCGAGTAAAGTTCATCTAATACGCTTTTAATTATCCTTCTGTCTGCCAGGCAACTTAGTCCCCAAAATTGTCTTCAACGAGAGGAACTGGCTCAAACAGTTTCTTCCATTTCCACAAAAAAGTGTTGTAAAGTGTGCATGAGTATGTACACTGACTTAATTTCGTCAATGTTTCTGGGAAATTGGTAGAGCGAGAGACAACTTTAAGGTTTTTTATCCCTTTTTCAACTGATTTCTTGGTAGGTTTAGCTAATCCTATAGCTTAAAGAGTGACATAAAATTCTACATCATAAAAAAAACTTGTCTTAATCTTACCATCGCCTGTGGACTTAATGTGTCATTTTCGTTATTTTCAATATGTTTCTCCATCATTGAGTACTTTGTCCTGATTGATGTAACCGATCAACCTTAAATATCGTGTTCACAGGAGATCCTGTTGACCGCGTTGGCTTGGAAGACTGCGACCTTTGCGAGACAAGGCCTTGCAAAAATGGTGGCACTTGTGAAGAGGTCCCGGGAGCCTGGGGCTTTGTCTGCAGTTGTAGGCCCGGCTACTCGGGAAGAACTTGTCAAGATGCCGGGCAGCAGTGTTCTTCTGGAGTCTGCAACGAAGGGCGTTGTGAGAATATCGGCGACGAAGGTCTTAAGTGCATTTGTCCAGCAGGGTATTCTGGGGAAAGATGCGAAGAAGGTTTGTTGGTCCTCGTAAGTTGTAACACGGTAGAATCCCTTGACAAAAAAACACATTCCTATACCGGACGGTATGCTTCACCTTAGTAGCACAAAGGCATGGAACAGGAAACTCTATCTGATATTCCATCCTCCAACTAATTCGTGTTCTTAGTCCCTAGTACTTTGTTCCACGGGGATTATACTCTTTAGCTCGGTATTTCGAGAATAATGTAGATAAGTAAACATGTATCGAATTTGAGCATCAACAGTTATATCCTTTTAGTGCGAAAGGGTAAAAGGGTATATCCAGCGCTCCCAATAATTATCGATCCCATTGCATTGAGTACAATTTGACGAGACCCTCTGCACTATCGGCCTTAATCGACTATTTCAGACTACGTGTTCGCCCTCTCGCGTCTTGCCTCTTAGAAAACTTTAAAGAGTAACGAACAGTCCGAAAAAAAAAAAACAATCATGCTTAAAGGACTGATACTTTTATCTTTAGGGCTAGTAATTCTCCTTAAGAATTTTTCTTTCCCTTTTTTGTAGGAGCTCTTATAGAGACGCCTATGTTCGATGGGCATTCCTTCATGTCTTTCCCGGGAATCGAAGGCGCTCTCCAACAATTAAAACTCGTCATTAGATTCATGATTCAGAAGTCAGGAAACATGCTTCTGTTATACAATGGTCAGCAGCAGTTCCCTCAGCGTGGAGACTTTATTTCTTTGGCCATTATTGGTGGAAAAGTTGAACTCAGGTTTAATTTAGGAAGTGGTCCTGGAATTGTGCGAAGCGCGAGAAATATTACTATAGGACAATGGCACACGGTTCACGTGGAACGTAAACTCGACGAGGGCTCGCTAGCACTTGATAACGATCCAACTGTGACAGACTACTCGCCGTGCTGCACAAAGGGGTTGAATCTTGGATTAGAGTTGTTCATAGGGGGCGTCGAGAACTTCGCAATGATAGACACACGCAAAGTTGGCGTCACCTCTGGACTGGTTGGTTGTATATCTGCTATGTCTGTGGATGGCAGAGAAATAAACTTGATAAAGTCAAACCTTGATTTGCGTAACATCACGCAGTGTACGGAATGTTTGTTACCGTGTGAATTAGAACCTTGTTTAAACAATGCCACATGTCTGCCAATCGGTAAGATTGGTTATGTTTGCTCGTGTGCGCAGGGGTACACTGGACGACACTGCGAGGTTCCTTTGGTTGGACCACCGAGGAACAATACTTGTGTGAATAACGGTGTCCTCCTCTCCACCTCGGATAGTATGTGTTCTTGTCCGTTGGGCTTCGGAGGAGATGCATGTGAGAATGGTAAGCCATGGCTTTAGCTTTTTGCACCTCGTATGCCTTTCATTACAAAATACTCCGAAGCCACCGTCCTAGTTATAAGAACAAATTTGAGCGCGAATGAATTGCTATGCACTGATTGTTTATTCAAAAAAACGTTTTTCACTCATAGAAAAACCGTTTTGGGTTAAGAAACCTTTTCCAAGTGTTTTCTATGTTTCATTTACCTGTAAATATTATTTAAGTAAGGGTCTTTTTTTTTGTTTTTGTTTTTGTTTCGTCTTATTCATTCAACTTGAAGTAATTTTTTTTCCACCGTAGTTGTTAAACTTGGCGACAGCGCGGCCTTTAGCGGAGATGGCTACTTGCAGTTTCCAAGCTCTACGATTCGAGGACCGAGGTAAGACTCGGACTTTTCCTTGCATTTTTTCCAGGAGGTGCCTTAATACGCATTTCCAAGAAGTGAATACTCTGACTTTCGTGCTGTTTCAAGAGGAAACTATTCGATGTGTTTGTGTTGTTATTTATAGGGTAGTAAAACCAGATTACATGTCATTAGAGATAAAAACCGAGGCCGAGAATGGAGTTATTTTATGGCAAGGACAGGTAAGTGTTGATCATCGTTATTCACAAAAAACTGCACATACACATATCACAAATGCCAACCAATCTCTCTCAGCTCAAGAAGACACTAAACTGGTTAATTTTCGGCTTTCTTGTAGAGAGGCGACCACTTTGCAATTGGCTTAAGGAAAGGTCGTTTGGAGTTCAGGTCAGTTAGTTTGTACCTTTGTTTTCACCGTGCGGACATAAAAGTGTGAATGATGGAAAGCAAATTCCGTGATATATAATTGTGAAATGTTCAGCAGGCAACCGTGGACGATACTCCTACTCTTGTACGTTGGATCAGCGATGATCTGATCGGCCCAAAATAACGAATATGAAATATAAATATAGAAGCAAGACCGATAGAACGTAGATAAGTAAATTTTAAGACGGAGCACTATATTTCGGCTGGCCAAACCAGCCTTCTTCAGGTGCAGTGGGAATTTACAGAGAATTAGCCATTTTCAAAACGAGCGGCGGTCTGGGTACGATTTGCCACCCTAGAGGCTCTTGGGATCGTTTGGAGGGACAGCAAGAACATGGTGGACAAGAGCAATGCAACCGTGCGAGACGCTCTCAAGGTTATTCTGACAGAAGAAGATATACCTGGTGCAAAAATTCCTCGCGAAACTGTAGAACAATGTAGCGTCGTTCAATTGAAAAGGTGGTTGCTGTGCAGGGGAGCAAAGACTACGGGAAATAAGAAAGCATTGATAACAAGGTAGGTTCACTCGAGGTGTATATTTTCATTTAGTGGTGTACATATGAGCTTAAATTATATCGAAGGAGAAATTGTGTCGTTTTATTTTGTTTCATTCCAGTCATATATCATGTTCATATTTTTCAGAGTTCAAGATTACATTAAGCATGGACTAGACGTTAAATATCTCCGTGATCCAGACGGTGGACTACACCTTCTCCGCAAGAAGGCTCAACTTGGAGTGCTGGAGGAGGAAGAGCCGCAGCTCAACCAATTCTTTCCAAAAGAAGGATACAAACCTGATTTTAAAGATTTGCCTAAGATAGCTTTTGGAACCGTTTGGCAGTTTATGATTGAAGGAGTTGAAAGTAAAAAACAACTTTCCACTGCAAAGCCCCTAGTCAAGGGATTTAACTTCTTCAAGTCAGGGCATGTTTTATACATTGGACATCTGCACCAAAATGGAAAACATTATGTAAAAAGCCAAGTTCTGCCATCGATGAAAAAAGATAAAGTATACTCTTGTTTTCTGTTAATGTCATCCATAGGTTGTGTGTTAAAAGCACACTGTAAGTGTCCTGCTGGTATTGATGGCCGTTGTAACCATGTGGCATCTACATTGTTTGCCCTTGAACAAAGCTTTAAGGAGACGAAAAGGAAAAATTCGGATGCAGCTGAGTCCTGCACATCTAAGCCTTGTAAATGGAATGTGCCAGGGAAACGCAAGGGTCCAGTGACACCTATCTCTGAGATGAGCTTTGTCAAACATGATTATGCTAAAGAAAAGAAAGCAAAAAGGCCAAAGCTAGCCTCATGTCCAGCACAGAATGGTACCTGTGTATCAGAAAAAAAAGTCTGGCCAAGTGAAAGATTACAAAACTTCCATAAATCTTTAAAAGAATATCAAATGAAATCTGGGAGAGCTGTTGGATGGACACATATTCTTCCTCAAAAGGTAAATAATCTGGAAGAGCCACTCATCTCACCCATCAAATGTCATCCAATATCAGCTGATGAACTAAGAGTGAGATTTGAGAAAGTGAAGAGGAACATTAATTTTGATGAAGAAAAAATAAAGAAAGTAGAAGAGCAAACACGAGGGCAGTCAAACTCAAATTTGTGGCATCATCACAGGCAGCCCAGGATTAC